TCACAGGCACGTGCCACCACATCCAACTAATTTTTGTTTTTTTTTTCTTTTCTTTTTTTTTTTTTGAGAAGGAGCCTCAGTCTTGCTCTGAGCCCTTGGCTCACTGCAAGCTCCGCCTCCCGGGTTCACGCCATTCTCCTGCTTCAGCCTCCCAAGTAGCTGGGACTACAGGTGCCTGCCACCATGTCCGCTAATTTTTTTGTATTTTTAGTAGAGACGAGGTTTCACCATGTTAGCCAGGATGGTCTTGATCTCCTGACCTTGTGATCCACCCACCTCGGTCTCCCAAAGTGCTGGAATTGCAGGTGTGAGCCACTGCCCCCGGCCAATTTTTGTATTTTTTTGTAAAGACAGGGTCTCACTCTGTTGCCCAGGCAGATCTCAAACTCTTGACCTCAACGGGTCCTCCTGCCTCAGCCTCCCAAAGTGATTACAGGTGTGAGCCACTGTGGCCATCCAGTAGTAGGAAGTATTTTATGAATAATTCTATTTCTGTGCTCTCATTCTTTTAAATTTTATTTTTATTTATTTATTTTTCTATCCTTCCAGGGAAAAAGAATTAAATCTTTTAATTTCATTTTTTGTTATGAAGATAATACAGTAGAAGTACATTTTATCTAGAGCATTTGAAATTGGAACTTGATCAGTTAATTCCATTTATTTTTATTTTGCTTATTTTTTTTTTACTTCTTTTGTTTTTTCTTTTAAAACAATTTTAACAGAGTGAGACTGACTCCGTCTCAAAAAAAAAAAAATAAATAAAGCAATATGAGTGCAAAAATCTCTAGATTTTTCTGATTTCTCCCCCTAATATTTTACTTTTTCCCACAGCAACAGACTTAGGGACAAATAGAACTGATTGTTATAAGCACGAAGTCAACTGATGAGAGCAGAGTGAGACTGTCTCAAAAAAAAAAAAAAAAAAAAAGCTTTATTGCACATGTTCACTGTGGAAAACTGCGAGAATACAGTAAGCAAAAAATAACAAATCTGCCTGGGTGTGATGACGTGCACCTGTAATCGCAGCTACTTGGGAGGCTAAGGCAGGAGGATCTCTTGAGCCTAGGAGTTTGAGTACAGCCTGGGTAATATAGCCAGACCCTGTTTCTTTCTTTCTTTCTTTCTTTTTTTTTTTTTTGAGACGGAGTCTCGCTCTGTTGCCCAGGCTGGAGTGTAATGGCGCAACCTTGGATCACTGCAACCTCCGCCTCCTGGGTTCAAGCGATTCTCCTGCTTCAGCCTCCTGAGTAGCTGGGATTATAGGCATCTGTGACCAGGCCTGGCTAATTTTCTTGTTTTTAGTGGAGACAGGGTTTCAACATGTGGGCTAGGCTGGTCTCAAACTCCTGACCTCAGGTGATGAGATCACCTTGGCCCACCTGGGCCTCCCAAGGTGCTGAAATTACAGGCATGAGCCACTGTGCCTGGCCATTCATTAAGTCTTGAGGCTTTTTCATCAATCATTCTTCTATAATACTATTTTTTTAATGACCGTCAGCACTTTGAGATGAGTTAGTGCCATTGCTTGTCCCTCAGAGGACGGGTTTATAAAGAGAGAACTAATGATAGGGAGATGTCAGTGAAGAATGAGGAGGGCCTACCTTTGTCTTCACAATTGGAGGGTGTGGGTGAGGGCCACTGAGTAGCTTCACATTGTACTCGTGCTCTCTGGGGACAGCCAAGTTCTGATTAAGCCCAGGAGTGTGAGGAACGTTCAGAGAGGTTTGTTTTTCATGAAACAGAGCACCAGAGATCTCGGTGGAAGGAGCTGGAGACAGAGAGGGAAGGGGTTGGAGACAGGGTTGGTGGAAGAAAACCCTGCCGGAAGAAATGGCAGTCTGAGGGAGCATGGGTTGCCAGGGTGGATGGAGGATGTGCCTGACACGAGAGAGGGCTTCCTCTTTCTGCTGGTGCCAAACTGCTCCATGCCTCATATTCTTTGGGGCAAGGAGGGTTATTTTTTATTTTATTTTATTTTATTTTTTTTTGAGACGGAGTCTCGCGCTGTGTCACCCAGGCTGGAGTGCAGTGGCCCGATCTCGGCTCACTGCAAGCTCCGCCTCCCAGGTTCACGCCATTCTCCTGCCTCAGCCTCCGAGTAGCTGGGACTACAGGCACCCGCCACCACGCCCGGCTACTTTTTGTATTTTTAGTAGAGACGGGGTTTCACCATGTTAGCCAGGATGGTCTCGATCTCCTGACCTCGTGATCCACCCGCCTCGGCCTCCCAAAGTGCTGGGATTACAGGCTTGAGCCACCGCGCCCGGCCTAGGAGGGTTATTTTGTGCCAACTTCTGTGTCAGTATTCTAGCGTATCATTAGCAGCCCGGCTAGCCAGTAGTTAGAAATAGAAGCAGTGGGCCGAGTGCAGTGGCTCATGCCTGTAATCTCAGCACTTTGGGAGGCAGAGATGGGTGGATCACGAGGTCAGGAGTTCAAGACCAGCCTGACCAACATGGTGAAACCCCGTCTCTACTAAAAATATAAAAAATTAGCCAGGCGTGGTGGCATGTGCCTGTAATCCCAGCTACTCAGGAGAACTGAGATGGGAGAATCGCTTGAATCTGAGAAGCAGAGGTTGCAATGAGCCACAATCGTGCCACTGCACTCTAGCCTGGGCGACAAAGCAAGACTCCATCTCAGAAAAATGAAAACAAAACCGAAAAATGACCTACAAAAATTAGCCAGGCGTGGCGGCATGTGCCTGCAACCCCACCTACTTGGGAGAGTGAGGCAGGATAATCGCTTGTACCCGGAAGTTGGAGGCTGCATTGAGCTGAGATTGTGCCACTGCACTCCAGCCTTTTTCTCAAAAAAAAAAAAAGAAAAAGGAATAGAAGCAGTGATCTCTAGGAGATGACATGGGTTCTTCTCTAAGGGGATGTTTTCTTTTTTTCTTTTTTTGAGACAAAGTCTCGCTCTGTCACACAGGCTGGAGTGCAGTGGCACCATCTCGGCTCACTGCAACCTCCACTTCCCAGGTTCAGCGATTCTCCTGCCTCAGCCTCCACAGGCACGTGCAGCCACATCCGGCTAATTTTTGTATTTTTAGTAGAGATGGGATTTCACCATGTTGGTCAGACTGGTCTTGAACTCCTGACCTCAAGAGACCCACTGGCCTCGGCCTCTAAGGGGATGTTTTCAGTATGGCTGCTGGTTTGCAGTGGGAATGGGGGTTACCCTGTAGGTTTGCTATTGTTCTTGTACCACTAATCATGAGTTGGGGGGAGATCGCTCAGAGAGAAAGTAGACTGAGAAGGTGGCCTTGGGCAGAGCTGGGGAGTACCAATATTTTATGTATTTTAGTTTTTAGAGATGGGATCTTGTTTTCTCACCCAGGCTAGAGTGCAGTGGTGAGATTCCAGCTCACTGCAGCCTCGAACTCCTGGTCAGCCTCTTGAGTAGTTGGGATTATAGGTGTGCACCACCATGCCTGGCTACCAATATTTAGAGATGGGCAAAGAGAAGTCCCCCAAAAGTGACTGAGGTTGAGTAGCTCTGGAGTTAGAAAGAAAACCACGTTCCTGCAATGCTGTAGAAGAATATGTACTTAAAAGGAGAGAGTGGGGGCTAGGCGCAGTGGCTCACACCTATAATCCCAGCACTTTGGGAGGCCGAGGCAGGTGGATCACAAGGTTAGGAGATCCAGACCATCCTGGCCAACATGGTGAAACCCCATCTCTACTAAAATACAAAAAATTAGCTGGGTGTGGTGGCACGCACCTGTAGTCCCGGCTACTCAGGAGGCTGAGGCAGGGAATCACTTGAACCCGGGAGGCGGAGCTTGCAGTGAGCCGAGATTGCGCCACTGCACTCCATCCTGGGGGACAGAGCGAGACTCCTTCTCAAAAAAATAAAAAAATAAAAGATGAGAGTGGCCTACAGGGACATGCTTTAGACATAGTCTATCTGGATTTTAGCCACAAACATAAAGCTTTCCTACTTCATATGACAGTAATTGAGAACTTGAATAAGGTTCAAAATAGAACCCTTAGCAATTTGTAGGACTAACCCCCAGGCTGAAATCAGTTCATTTCCTGGGATGGTTTGATTCATTTATTTGACCTATTATGGCTCCACCTACCTGCTGTATTAGTGCAAACACATCCTGTGTGTGTTCAGTACCTCTCTGTTCTTTACTCACTAAACCTGCTCCAAGTAAAGAAATGTGCTTTGGCTGGGTGCAGTGGCTCACGCCTGTAATCCCAGCACTTTGGGAGGCCAGTAGTTAGAAATAGAAGCAGTGGGTCAAGCGCAATGGCTCATGCCTGTAATCTCAGCACTTTGGGAGGCCGAGGGGGGTGGATCATGAGGTCAGGAGATCGAGACCATCCTGGCTAACACGGTGAAACCCCTTCTCTACTAAAAATACAAAACATTAGCTGGGTGTGGTGGTGGGCGCCTATAGTCCCAGCTACTCGGGAGGCTGAGGCAGGAGAATGACTTGAACCTGGGAGGCGCAGGTTGCAGTGAGCCAAGATTGCACCACTGCACTCCAGCCTGGGTGACAGAGTGAGACAATGTCTCAAAAAAAAAAAAAAAAAAGTTTGAAAATATGCTAACAATTGTCTCTGGGTTCTGAAAATAACACAAAGTGTAAAAATGTGTTTCTTGGCCTTCTTTGGGAGGCCAAGGTGAGTGAATCACTTGAGCTCAGGGGTTCAAGACCAGCCTGGGTAACATGGTTAAACTCCATCTCGACCAAAAAAAAAAAAAAACAAAAATTAGCCAAGTGTGGTGGTGCATGTCTGTAGTCCCAGCTACCCGGGAGACTGAGGCAGGAGGATCACTTGAGCCTAGGTTGCAGTGAGCTATGATGGTTCTACTGCACTCCAGCCTGGGCAATAGAGCAAGACGCTGTCTCTAAAATAAATAAATACATACATAAATAAATAAATTAAAAGGTGTCTAGAGCTGTAAGAGCTTCTTTGAAAAGCTGATTTTTGTGATTTGTAGTCATCTCCTAAACTGTTTGTATTTTTAAATTTTCCCCAATTTAGTTGACCATGGCCTTGCCAGGTTGGTGACAGTATATCGCGAGCATGGTCATAAAGCTGCCAAAATCAACCCCCTCTTCACCGGGCAAGCCCTGCTGGAGAATGTGCCTGAAATCCAAGCCCTGGTGCAGACACTGCAGGGACCCTTCCACACGGCAGGTATGGCTTCTGCACAGCAGGTGGGAGCTCGGAGCTGCATACCAGGCCTGGCTCCTGCCTCTGTTCTTGAAGAAGCAGCATCCCCGCTGGAGCTGAGGCTCCCACAGGTGTGAGGAGACCCAAGGGGGCACGTTGAGGTACGGTCAGGAAGGAGCATTCTTGGGATTCTAGAAGTTCTGAGGAGGCTTGTTTTCTTAAGGTTCAAAAACATTGAATTGGCTGGGCACAATGGCTGACACCCATAATCCCAGCACTTTGGGAGCCTGAGGTGGGAGGGTCATTTGAGCCCAGGAGTTTGAGACCAACCTGGGCAACACAGTGAGACTGTTGCTACAAAAAAAAAAAAAAAAAAATTAGCTGGGCATGGTGATGCACACCTGTAGTTCCAGGCACTCCAGAGGCTGAGATGGGAGGATCACTTGAGCCTGGGAGGTCAAGGCTGCAGTGAGCCTTGATCATGCCACTGTACTCCAGCCTGGGCAACAGAGTGAGACCCTGTCTGAAAAAACAAACAAAAAAAAAACCATGAGCTCTAAAGTGCTATATGCTTAGCATATGTCAATTTGTTCTCAAAACCACTCCCAAAAGTAGTCATTGTCCTCTTTATTTTGTAGATGGAAAAACAAAGAGAACTTATATAACTCATAGCTGCTCAGTGGCAGAGGTGGGGTGAAATCCAGGGCTGCCTCCATTCCAAAGCTTGCCCCCCTCATTCTATTTTCTTTCCCAGCCTGGGAACTTAGAAGAAGTTGGGCCTGCATCATCAGTCATGATTTCAGGGTCCTACCTCATGTTACTTTTTAAAGTTAATCTTGCAAATACCAAATTCTGATTGTGTGTATCAGTGAGTCATGTTTCAGTCATCTAATGCCGTGTAGTAAACTACCCCAAGATGTAACGGCATTTAAACCCTCAACTTTCATTTTAGCGTCTCTTAGGGTTCGGAGGGTTACCTGGGTTTTGCAAGGTGGTAGTTTTCTTTTCTTTTTTTCTGTTTTTTTTTTTTTTTTTTTTTTTTTTGAGACGGAGTCTGTCTCTGTCATCCAGGCTGGAGTGCAGTGGCCAGATCTCAGCTCACTGCAAGCTCCGCCTCCCAGGTTCACGCCATTCTCCTGCCTCAGGCTCCCGAGTAGCTGGGACTACAGGCGCCTGCCACCTCGCCCGGCTAGTTTTTTGTATTTTTTAGTAGAGACGGGGTTTCACCGTGTTAGCCAGGATGGTCTCGATCTCCTGACCTCGTGATCCACCCGTCTCGGCCTCCCAAAGTGCTGGGATTACAGGCTTGAGCCACCGCGCCTGGCCCCTTTTTTTCTGTTTTTGAGATGGAGTTTCGCTCTTGTTACCCAGGCTGGAGTGCAATGGTGCTATCTCAGCTCACTGTAACCTCCGCCTCCCAGGTTCAAGCGGTTCTCCTGCCTCAGCCTCCCGAGTAGCTGGGATTACAGCCATGTGCCACCACACCTGGCTAATTCTGTATGTTTGGTAGAGACGGAGTTTCTCCATGTTGGTCAGGCTGGTCTCGAACTCCTGACCTCAGGTGATCTGCCCGCCTCGGCCTCCCAAAGTGCTGGGATCACAGGCATGAGCCACCGTTCCCGGCATAAGGTGGTAGTTTTCTCTCTTTTTTCTTTCTTTTTTGAGACGGGCCTCCAAAGGCCCTTTTCTTGAACCCCTGCAGAAAGAACTGATTCCTCAGTTGAACCTCTGCAGAAAGAACTGATTCCTCAGCGCCTCATAAAAGCAAACGAGTTAATGTGGTAAACATTAAACGACATGATTAATGACTCAGTTGGAATATAGTGGTGATGCATCTAACTTCCTCAAAAGACCAATACTTTAAATCTTTATATACCAAAAAAAAAAAAAAAAAAAGCAATAAACTTTGTTGTAAGAAACCATAAGCCAGAGATGTCCAATCTTTTGGCTTCCCTGGGCCACACTGGAATTAGAATTGTCTTGGGCCACACATCAAATATACTAACACTAATCATAGCTAATGAGCTAAAAAAAAAAATCACAAAGAAAATCTCACAATGTTTTAAGAAAGTTTATTCATTGTGTTGGGTCACATTCAAAGCTGTCCTGGACCACATGCAGCCTGTGGGCTGCGGGTTGGACAAGCTTGCTAAGCAATATAAAGTAAAGGTTGGGGCCGGGTGTGGTGGCTTATGCCTGTAATCTCAGCACTTTGGGAGGTGGAGGCAAGAGGATCACCTGAGGATAGGAGTTTGACACCAGCCTGGCCAACATGGTGAAACCCCATCTATCCTGAGAATACAAAAATTAGTCAGACGTGGTGGTGTGCACGTGTAGTCCCAGCTACTCGGGAGGCTGAGGCAGGAGAATCACTTGAACCTGGGAGGCAGAGGTTGCAGTGAGCCAAGATCGTGCCACTGCACTCCAGCCTGGGCAATGAGCAAAAACTCCATCACACACAAAAAAGAAATTACTGTAGAATCAAAACTTGGCATAAAGCAGCAGCAGGCTCTGTCTTTGTGAAGGAAGTGGGGTTTTCCCCCCTCCTAGTTTTACTACTTCATGACCTCTGACCATATTTTTAGTTTTTTTCTTTAGAAAAAAATCTAGATAAGCATTAATAATGACCCAAGTTATTTATTTATTTATTTATTTATTTATTTTGGGACGGAGCCTCGCTCTGTCGCCCAGGCTGGAGTGCAGTGGTGTGATCTTGGCTCACTGCAACCTCTGTCTCCCGAGGTTCAAGCAATTCTCCTGCCTCGGCCTCTCAAGTAGCTGGGACTACAGGTGCACGCTACCACACCTGGCTAATTTTTGTAATTTTAGTAGAGACGGGGTTTTACCATATTGGTCAGGCTGAGCTCGAACTCCTGATCTCAGGTGATCCACCCACCTTGCCTCCCAAAATGTTGGGATGACAGGTGTGAGCCACAGCACCTGGCCAATAATGACCCAAGTTATTAAGAATAAAGAACTCTGTGTTGAAGTAATTATTTTGGTATGTTCCAGAATTAACTTGCCACATGATTATATTTTAAAATGACCCCTTTGATTGTATTTCACAGGATTATTGAACATGGAAAAGGAAGAGGCCTCACTTGAGGAAGTGTTAGTCTATCTCAATCAAATCTACTGTGGGCAGATTTCTATTGAAACCTCCCAACTTCAGAGCCAGGAGGAGAAAGACTGGTTTGCCAAGCGGTTTGAGGAACTGCAAAAGGAAACGTTTACCACAGAAGAGCGAAAACATCTGTCAAAACTAATGCTGGAATCTCAGGTAAAAAGGAGCATCTAGGCTGGGTGCGGTGGCTCACACCTGTAATCCCAGCACTTTGGGAGGCTGAGGCGGGCGGATCACCTGAGGTCAGGAGTTCAAGACCAGCCTGACCAACATGGAGAAACCCCATCTCTACTAAAAATACAAAAATTAGCCAGGTGTGGTGGTGTATGCCTGTAATCCTAGCTACTCGTGAGGCTGAGGCAGGAGAATCACTTGAACCCAGGAGGCAGAGGTTGCAGTGAGCCAAGATCGCGCCATTGCACTCTTGAACAACAAGAGCAAAACACAGTCTCAAAAAAAAAAAAAAGGAGCATCTAATAGCAAGGGCGTAGGTCAGCCTCACTGTCTATAAAGATATGTAGCCTGGCTGACATAAAGAAACCCCGTCTCTACTAAAAATACAAAAATTAGCGAGGGGTGATGGTGCACACCTGTAATCCCAGCTAGTCAGGAGGCTGAGGCATGAGAATCCCTGGAGCCTGGGAGGTGGAGGCTGCAGTGAGCTGAGATTGCGCCACTGCGCTCCAGCCTGGGTGACAGAGCAAGACTCTGTCTCAAAAAAAAAAAAAAAAAAGATATATAACTACTGAAGAAAGGGAATTGAGCCATTAACTCTGAATTTAAATCCCTCATTACTTCAACACAATGGATCATATAACACACATACCATTTTATTATTTTATTTTTCCTCAAAGATCCTTGTTCTGAGCACAACACTTTATTCTAAGTAGCAAAATGTTGGTTGCCAAAATATCGACCTATTGGCTCTCCTCAGAGTCAAAATACTTCTCGTGTATGTGTCTACTTCTACTCACTCTATAAAAGATGACAAGATCCTTAAGACCTTACTTCTGACTGGGCACGGTGGCTCGCGCCTGTCATCCCAGCCCTTTGGTAGGCTGAGGTGGGCCTATTGCTTGAGGTCAGGAATTTGAGACCAGCCTGGCCAACATGGTGAAACCCCGTGTCTACTAAAAAAAAAAAATACAAAAATTAGCCTGGTGTGGTGGAGCATACCTGTAGTCCCAACTACTTGGGAAGCTGAGGCAGGAGAATCACTTGAACCCAGGAGGTGGAGGTTGCAGTGAGCTGAGATCGCACCACGGCACTCCAGTCTCGGCAACAGAGCAAGACTCTGTCCAAAAAAAAAAAACAAAAAAACCAAAAAAACCAAAAAAACCCACATAGTTCTTACGGTTTTATTTCTTTTTTTTTTAATTTTTTTTCTTTTTTTGAGACAGAGTCTCGCTCTGTCGCCCGAGTAGCTGGGATTACAGGCACATGCCACCACACCAAGTTAATTTTTGTATTTTTAGTAGTGACAGGGTATCATCATGTTGGCCAAGATGGTCTTAATCTCCTGACCTCATGATCCGCCTGCCTTGGCCTCCCGAGTTACTGGGATTACAGGCATGAGCCACTGCACCTGGCCTTTAAAAAACATTTTTTAAAAAAAATGTATTTCAAATTTCTTTTTTTTTTTTTGAGATGATTCTCCCTGTCGCCCAGGCTGGAGTGCAGTGGTGTGATCTCAGCTCACTGTAACCTCTGCCTCCCACGTTTAAGCCATTCTTCTGCTTCAGCCTCCCAAGTAGCTGGGACTACAGGTGCTGCCACAATGCCCAGCCAATTTTTTGTATTTTTAGTAGAATGGGGTTTCGCTGTGTTAGTCAGGATGGTCTCAATCTCCTGACCCCGTGATCCATTCCCCTCAGCCTTCCAAAGTGCTGGGATTACAGGCGTGAGCCACCATGCCCAGCCTAAAATGTGTTAGCCAGGATGGTCTCGATCTCCTGACCTCGTGATCTGCCCACCTCAGCCTCCCAGAGTGCTGGGATTGAGGGGTGAGCCACCGCGACTGGCCTAAAATTTCTTTTAATATGTAAGAAAAAAGTCTTAGCCAGGCGCTGTGGCTGACGCCTGTAATCCCAGCACTTTGGTTTGGGAGGCTGAGGTGGGCTTAGCATGAGGTCAGGAGATCAAGACCATCCTGGCTAACATGATGAAACCCTGTCTCTACTAAAAATACAAAAAAATTAGCCAGGCGTGGTGGTGGGCGCCTGTAGTCCCAGCTACTCGGGAGGCTGAGGCAGGAGAATAGCATAAACCTGGGAGGCGGAGGTTGCAGTGAACCAAGATCGTGCCACTGCATTCCACACTGGGTGACAGAGTGAGACTCTGTCTCAAAAAAAAAAAAAAAAGTCCCTATACCAGGACATACTGTCACCATTCAGGGCTATGTATAGTTGCAGTTCTTGAGACAGTCTTGCTCTTTCACCCAGGCTGGAGTGCAGTGGCACAATCTCAGCTCACTGCAACCTCCGCCTCCTAGGCTTAAGCAATTCTCCTGCCAGCCTCCTGCGTAGCTGGGATTACAGGTGCATGCCACCACACCTGGCTAATTTTTATATTTTCAGTAGAGATGGGGTTTCACCATGTTGGCCAAGTCTTGAACTCCTGGCCTCAAGTGATCCAACCACCTTGGCCTCCCGAAGTGCTGGGATTACAGACATGAACCACCATGCCTGTCCTGGTCTTAATTCTTAAGAACTGAAGGTACTTAAGTTCAGAACTTAACTTGAGATGATCAAAAGATGACATGTGGAAGAGAGGCTCAATACAAATGAATGGAAGTGAACCTCCATCAGGGCTGTGACCAGGACTCTGGAATGTCAAGATGACAAGAAGCTCCTTCCTAATAGTTTGGGTAGTTGGATAGTTTGCAGCCTTGATTCATAACCATAGAACCCCCTGTGAAAACGGGTACTGGGAAGAGGCAGCAGAAATCTAAGGCCTGGCTTCCAGTCCAGAAGAACATACATTCTAAGGGGGTTTCCTTGGGGTGAGTTATTCTGCCACGAAGGTTATTCTCCTCGGCCCCTCCTGCTGTCCAGGATCCTTGGAAAGCCGTCCCGCTGTGTCCCTGTTACGTCTCTCTCCAGGATATGCAGTAAAGTGCCATTGTTGTGGCCACTTGGGGAGTGTGGGGCTATCTCACAACACACACAGACTTATCTGCCTTCCACTGGAGAAGCTGGCTGTCTCCTGGCAGCTCATGTCTGACATGATGTTCTGCAGGAGTTTGACCACTTTCTGGCCACCAAGTTCTCGACAGTGAAGCGATATGGAGGCGAAGGGGCTGAAAGCATGATGGGCTTTTTCCACGAGCTGCTGAAAATGTCGGCCTACAGCGGAATCACTGATGTCATCATTGGGATGCCCCATAGAGGGAGGCTGAATTTATTGACAGGCCTTCTCCAGTTCCCTCCAGAGGTAAGGTTACTCGCTATGTTTCTCAGTAGCACTGTAAGATTGATGGTAACAGAATAAAACTGCTGGTTTCATTCTGCTGATAAATGATGGTGATGGTGATGGCCGGGCACTGTGGCTCACACCTGTAATCCCAGCCTGTTGGGAGGCTGAGGCAGGAGGATGGCTTGAATCTAGGACTTGAGACCACCCTGTGGAACAAAGTAAGACTCTGTGTCTACCAAAAATAAAGTAAGTTAGCCAAGCATGGTGGCACACACCTGTGTTGCCAGCTACTCAGGAGACTGAGGCCAGAGGATTACTTGAGCCCAGGAGTTTGAGGCTGCAGTAAGTTAGATCTCACCACCGCACTCCAGGCTGGGCAACAAAGCAAGATGCTGCCTGAATATCAATACATTTTAAAAAGTAAAACTCATGGTGATCATTCCTTTTAAGAAGTCAACTAAGCCTGGGCAAGGTGGCTCACACCTGCAATCCCAGCACTTTGGGAGGCTAAGGCAAGAAGAGTGCTTGAGCCCAGGAGTTCAACACCAGCTTGGGTAACCTCGCAAAACTCTGTCCCTACAAAAATAAAAATTAGGTGGCATGGTCTCTACAAACATAAGAATTAGGTGGTGCACCTATGGTTCCAGCTACTTGGGAGGCTGTGGTGGGAGGATCTCTTGCATCCAGGAGATGGAGGCTTCAGTGAACTGAGATTGCGTCACTGCCCTCCAGCCTGGAAGACAGAGCCAGATCCTGTCTCAAGAAAAAAAAGAGCAAAGGCAACTAAGCATGTGAGCAGTTGGTCCAGGAGGTAGTTTAGACAGTTTAGTTAATTGACAGAGCTGGTATTTGGATTGGTTTTCCGTGTATTCTTATTTATTTATTTATTGAGACCTAATCTCACTCTGTCACCCAGGCTGGAGTACAGTGGTAGGATCATGACTCACTGCAACCTCTGCCTCCTAGGTTCAAGTGATTCTCATGCCTCAGCCTCTCGACTAGCTGGGATTACGGGTGCCTGCCACCACGCCCGACTAATTTTTTGTATTTTTAATAGAGACGGGGTTTCACCATGTTGGCCAGGCTGGTCCCGAACTCCTGACCTTGAGTGATCTTCCCGCCTCAGCCTCCCAAAGTCCTGGAATTACAGGCGTGAGCCACCACTCCTGGCTTTAAATTTTCTTTTTTCTTGTGTGATTTCAACTCAGCACTTCTTCCCTAGTCTCCATTGTGATGAACGCCATTGTTTTTGTTTTATATGTATCCACAATAGCTGATGTTCCGTAAAATGCAAGGCTTAAGTGAATTTCCGGAGAATTTTTCAGCCACTGGAGATGTCCTGTCTCACCTGACCTCCTCTGTGGACCTGGACTTCGGGGCACACCATCCCCTCCACGTGACAATGCTGCCCAATCCCTCCCACCTGGAGGCCGTCAACCCCGTGGCCGTGGGCAAAACTCGTGGCAGGCAGCAGTCTCGCCAAGACGGCGATTACTCGCCAGACAACTCAGCCCAGCCGGGGGACAGGGTCATTTGCTTACAGGTACTTGGAGCTTCTGGAAGTGAGGCCAGAGGTGGGGAAAACTGGGAAGAATGTGTGGGTTGGGAGGGCTGAAAATAGATGGCTGACATTCGTGATGAAACTGAGATGACCTTTTGGAAAAAGATTCTGGGATTGTTTTAAAAACTAACAGGAGATTCATGAGGTTTAGTCTTCAGGCAACTGGCTTTAGCCTGGGGCTTCCACTGCTGTTTTCCTTGCTTGGCTTATGAATTAACTTAGGGGCATGGGCTGGCAAACCTGCTCCTTCTGGGAGCACAGGTGTCATTATTTCTCTGAAAGGATGGCCCTCATGGAAACTTCGTGGTATCCATACTTGTCATGTAACAAGACAAGTGTGAATTTTTTTTTTTTTTTTGAGATGGAGTCTTGCTCTGTCACTCAGGCTGGAGTGCAATGGCGAAATCTCAGCTCACTGCAACCTCTGCCTCCTGGGGTCAAGTGATTCTCCTGCCTCAGCCTCCCAAGTAGCTGGGACTATGGGCGCCTGCCATCATGCCCAGCTAATTTTTGTATTTTTAGTAGTGACAGGGTTTCACCATGTTGGCCAGCCTGGTTTCGAACTCCTGACCTCAAATGATCCTCCTGCTTCAGCCTCCCAAAGTGCTGGGATTACAGGCATGAGCCACTACACCTGGCCTATTTTTTTTTGCTTGTTTATTCTAAAATGAAGGCCTTTGGCATTAAGGCAAATAATACAAATTATCAGTGTGGTTCGTTCTTCTTCTACCGTCTCTCCAAGTTTTTGGTAACACAACAAGTATCTTTTAGAGGTTTGAGCTGTGGTCATGTTTCTCCTATGAGTATTCATTTAAATACAAACCTTTAACTACAGGAGATAATGAATGCTGGATTTCAGAATCAGTCTTCAAATTCCACAGAAATAGATAAATATATAAGATAAGCAAATATTCTGTCTGTGAATAGCCATGTTATCCTATGCATTTTAATTTTTCACAGGCCAGAAACTTGTAGTGAATAAATTGGGAGTAGGCAGAATTGGATTTAATTATGATATGGCCGGCCTGCCTGCCTTCCTTCCTTCCTTCCTTCCTTCCTTTTTTCCTTCTTTCCTTCCTTTTTTCCTTCCTTCTTTCCTTTTTTCCTTCCTTCCTTCCTTTTTTCCTTCCTTCCTTCCTTTTTTTCTTCCTTGCTTCCTTTCTTCCTTCCTTTCTCCCTCCCTTCCTCCCTCCCTCGCTTCCTTCCTTCCTTGCTTCCTTCCTTTTTTCCTTCCTTCCTTTCTTCCTTGTCTTCTCCCTTCTTTCCTTCCTTCCTCCCTCCCTTTTCCCTCACTCCCTCTCTTCCTCCCTCCCTCCTTCCCTTCCTTCCTTCCTCTTTCTCTCTCTTTCTTTCTCTCTTTCTCTCTTTTGAGATGGGGTCTCGATCTTTCGTCCAGACAGGAGTTCAGTGGCGCAATCATAGCTCACTGCAGCCTCAAATGCCTGGGCTCAAGCAGTCTTCCTGTCTCAGCCTCCCGAGTAGCTGGGCCTACAGGTGCTTGCCATCGTACCTGGCTGATTTATTTTGTTTTGTGGAGACATGATCTTGCCAGGTTGGCAAAGCTGGTTTCAAATTCCTAGCTTCAAGCAACCCTCCTGCCTCGGCCTCCCAAAGTGTAGATATTACAGGTGTGAACCACTGCACCTGGCCTGATACGGTGCTTCTAAATAGAAATCTTGAAATCATTAGCCAGACATTCTGTTTACCTTTCACATAATTTATAATACTCTAAACTATTTTAATCTTTCATTTTTACCCAGTATATTGAGCTGATCTTAAGATCGACTTCTGAAATAAAAGGTGAAAATGCCATTTTCTTTAAAATAATGATAAACGAGGCTGGTCACTGTGGCTTATGCCTGTAATCCCAGCACTTTGGGAGGCCGAGGAGGGTAGATCACCTGAGGTCAGAAGTTCGAGACCAGCCTGACCAACGTGGTGAAACCCCGTCTCTACTAAAAATACAAAAAATTAGCCGGGTGTGGTGGTGCGTGCCTATAATCCCGACTACTCGGAAAGCTGAGGCAGGAGAATCGCTTGAACTCGGGAGACGGAGGTTGCAGTGAGTTTAGATTGTGCCATTGCACTCCAACCTGGGCGAAGGAGCAAGACTCTGTCTCAAAAAATAAAAAAAAAAAATAAATAAATAAATAAATAATTCCAACCTGAAAACCTAAATTTGTTTTTTTTTTTTTTGAGACCGAGTCTGGCTCTGTGGCCCAGGCTGGAGTGCAGTGGCGCGATCTCAGCTCACTGCAAGCTCCAGTTCCCGGGTTCACGCCATTCTCCTGCCTCAGCCTCCCGAGTAGCTGGGACTACAGGCGCCTGCCACCACGCCCGGCTAGTTTTTTGTATTTTTAGTAGAGATGGGGTTTCACCTTGTTAGCCAGGATGGTCTCGATCTCCTGACCTCATGATCCGCCCGTCTCGGCCTCCCAAAGTGCTGGGATTACAGGCTTGAGCCACCGTGCCCGGCCTTGAAAACCTAAATTTCTTAATCCCTTATGTTTCTTTTCTCTCCACCCCTCTCCTTGCCTCATGATTTAGGTCCATGGTGATGCTTCTTTCTGTGGTCAAGGGATTGTTCCTGAAACGTTCACGCTGTCCAGTCTCCCGCATTTCAGAATTGGTGGGAGTGTCCATTTGATTGTTAATAACCAGCTGGGTTATACCACTCCAGCGGAAAGAGGAAGGTCTTCTTTATACTGCAGTGATATTGGTACGTAACCCAGGGAGGAACTGATGTTGCTGAGGCCGATGTGAAATTCCCAGGGAAACCTCTAGTGCACACAGAACAATGAGCCTCACTGGTTATCCTTCATTTATTTCATTTAATTAATGAATTAATTTTTTGAGACACAGTCTTGCTCTGTCACCCAGGCTGTAGTGCAGCAGCACGATCTCGGCTCACTGCAACTTCTGCCTCCTGGGTTCAAGTGATTCTCCTGACTCAGCCTCCTGATGAGCTGGGACCACATGCTTGCACTGACCTGTTTGGCTAACTTTTTTTTTTTTTTTTTTGAGACAGAGTCTCGCTGTGTTGCCCAGGCTGGAGTACAGTGACCTGATCTCAGCTCACTGCAACCTCCATCTTCCGGGTTCAAGTGATTCTCATGCCTCAGCCTCTCAAGTAGTTGGGACTACAGGCGTGTACCACCACACCTGTCTAATTTTTGTATTTTTAGTAGAGACAGGGTTTCACCATGTTGGCAGGCTGGTCTCGAACTCCTGACCTCTGATGATCTGCCTGCTTAAGCCTCACAAAGTGCTGCGATTATAGGTGTGAGCCACCACGTCCAGCATATCAGTGTGATTCTTCAATCCAAGGAAGTAAGGATGGAGCCACAGTGTGCCATCTCAAATTTCTTATAACTGGATGGGTGATCTGGTACAAGTCAGAGATCAACACAATGAGTACAACACCAGAGTTGTTATCTCTAGGATATTCAAACTTGGAGTGCCCAGGGGCTTAGTGAAAAGGGATGTGTTCAACCACTAAACTTGGTGAAATAGTATAGTTAGAAACAAGATGTGAAGGTCGGGCATGGTGGCTCACGCCTGAAATCCTAGCACTTTGAGAGGCCAAGGCAGGTGGATCACCTGAGCTTGGGAGTTCGAGACCAGCTTGACAAACATGGAGAAACCCCTTCTCTAATAAAAATACAAAATTAACTGGGCATGGTGGCGCATGCCTGTAATCCCAGCTACTTGGGAGGCTAAGACAGGAGAATCCCTTGAACCTGGAAAGTGGAGGTTGCAGCGAGCTGAGATCAGGCCATTGCACCACTCCAGCCTGGGCAATAAGAGTAAAACTCTGTCTCAAAGTAAAAAAAAAAAAGAAAAGAAATAAGATGTGAAGAATCAAAGTCAGCTTCTTTTTTACCCATGGAAATTGGTAGGGTTTTTTAGTTTGTTTGTTTTGTTTGTTTTTTGTTTTTTTGAGAGTCTTGCTCTGTTACTCAGGCTGGAGTGCAGTGGTACAGTCATGGCTCACTGCAGCTTTGACATCCCAGGCTCAACAGAATCTCTCTCCTCAGCCTCCTTAGTAGCTGGGATTTACAGACACATGCCACCATGCACAGCTAATTTTTTTTTAGAGATGGAGTTTCACTCTTGTTGCCCATGCTGGAGTGCAGTGGCGCCATCTTGGCTCACCACAACCTCCACCTCCTGGGTTCAAGCAATTCTCCTGCCTCAGTGTCCAGAGTAGCTGGGATTACAGGCGTCCACTACCACGCCATTAATTTTTGTATTTTTAGTTGAAACAGGATCTCATCATGTTGGTCAGGCTGGTCTCAAACTCCTGACCTCAGGTGATCCACCCGCCTTGGCCTCCCAAAGTGCTGGGATTATAGGCGTGAGCCACTGCACCCAGCCACAGCTAATTTTTAAAATAATTTTTTGTAGAGATTGAGTCTCACTGTGTTGCCCAGGCTGGTCTTGAACCTCTGGTCTTATGTGATCCTCTTCAGCCTTCCAAACTGCTGAGATTACAGGCGTGAACCACTGCGCCAGGCTGAAATTGGTCGTCTTAAGAGAAAGACAGGGCTGTTATTACCCATTCCCAGTTTCACAGATTACAAGACTGTTTGATGATGGCAACTATTCTCCTTTTATACAAACAGCCTGGACTGGATGCCTCTTGGGCTTGTCTGTGTGAATCCTTTATGATTAGTCTGATGAAGATGCTGAAGATCCATTCTTGAACTTCTTTGGGGAAAATTTATCTTTTTCTAGGGTATATCTTTTAATGACCCTTTTATCTCAGGGAGAAAGAGAGTAATAATAATAACAGTAACAAAATAAATATTAACTACTATGTACCAGGCACTGTTAGGCATTACAATTGTGTGTGCATTCACTCATTGAACCTTTGCAGTATCACTAAGAGATAGGAGCCCCTATTCCCGGTTTATAGATAAGGAGGCTGAGATTTGTAGCTTTACCAAGGTCACACAATAAGTCCCAGAGTTGGAACTTGCCAGCTGGTCTCCAAAGCTGGGGTTCTTAACCAAACCAGTATCTACCTGTGAGGACTGGGCTGTCTTTTGATGCAGGAAGTAGGGCTTAGAGAGGGCCAGTGTTAACTGTCCTGTTTCAGCTTGGTCTTCTGTCCTTCAGGAAAGCTTGTGGGCTGTGCCATCGTCCATGTCAATGGAGACAGCCCAGAGGAAGTGGTCCGTGCCACACGACTGGCTTTTGAATACCAACGCCAGTTCCGCAAGGATGTGATTATTGATCTGTTGTGCTACAGACAGTGGGGCCACAATGAGCTGGATGAGCCATTCTTCACCAACCCCATCATGTACAAAATCATCAGGTACAATTATAAACCCTTGTGTGATATGCTCCCTAACAATTAAAATACATATATATTTTTTTGAGATGGAGTCTTGCTTTGTTGCCCAGTCTGGAATGCAGTGGCATGATCTTGGCTCACTGCAATCTCCACCTCCCGGGTTCAAGTGATCCTTCTGCCTCAAGTGATCCTCTTACCTCAACCTCCCGAGTAGCTGGGATTATAGGCGTGTGCCACCATGCCTGGCTAATTTTCGTAATTTTTAGTAGAGATGGAGTTTTGCCATGTTGGCCAGGCTGATCTCAAACTCCTGACCTCAGGTGATCTGCCTGCCTCGCCCTCCCAAAGTGCTGGGATTACAGGCACGAGCCACCATGCTCAGGCAGGACACGAAACTTTCAGTGCTAAAGCTGACACAGTTCTGGGCTGGAGTGCAGGTGGCACAATCTCGGCTCACTGCAACCTCTGCCTCCCGGGTTCAAGCAATTGCAATTCATATGCCTCAGCTTCCTGAGTAGCTGGGATTACAGGTATGCATCACCATGCCTGGCTAATCTTTGTATTTTTAGTAGAGACAGGGGTTTTGCCATGTTGGCTAGGCTGGTCTCGAACTCCTGGTCTCAAGTGATCTGCTCACCTTGGCCTCCCACCCAAAGTGCTGGGATTACAGGCATGAGCCACTGTGCCTGGCCTCACATACTCTTCACACTTCACATGGTTCCTCATTAAATAGACAAAGGGCAATTTAGAAACTCAGCAGATGGGAAGATTGAAGCAGGGGGAATTAAGCAAACCTCACCCAAATCTACTTACTGCAGTGTTGGCAGGACCAGAAATAGAACCTCAGCGATCCATTTCTACAAACCATAGCTGCAGACATGCCTGGCACCTTGGTAAGAGGTAACTCAGAGGATTTTAGTGAATGTTCAGAACCATGCTGTCCAAGATGGAAACCACTAGCCATCAGTGGCTATTGAATACTTGAAAAGTGGCTAGTCCTGATTAATGTGCTATAAAGATAATACATACACCATATTTCAAATACTTAGCATGTAAAATATAAACCCAAAATAATAATTTTTAAATTTATTAGATATGGAAATGACAATATAATGAGTATATTGACTTAAATAAAATATGTTATTGAAATGGTTGGGCATGGTGGCTCATACCTGTAATCCCAGCACTTTGGGAGGCTGAGGTGGGTGGATCACTTGAGGTCAGGAGTTTGAGACCAGCCTAGCCAACATGGTGAAACCCCGTCTCTACTAAAAATACAAAAATTGGCCAGTGCTGTGGCGTGTGCCTGTAGTCCCAGCTACTCAGGAGGCTGAGACAAGAGAATCGCTCTACCTGGAGTGGCAGACTTTGCAGTGAGCTGAGATTGTGCCACTGCATTCCAGCCTGGGTGACAGAGCAAGACTCAATCTCAAAGGAAAAACAAAAAGAAAAGAAATTAATTCCACCTGTTTCTTTTTACCTTTTCTAATGTGACTGCCAGAAAAATTTAAATTACTCATGGCTTGCATTTCATTTCTGTCCAGTGGTGCTGATTCAGAGGGTTAATGTGACAGAGGGGGAATTCGTTACTTTGGAACTTCGTTTTCTAGATACTAGGAAATAAAATAGATGCCCGTCCTCCAGCTTATTTCCTTATATATATAAATTAAAGCAGAGGAATAAACATTTTATGGGCTTTTCTGATCCTTGGTACCAGAAAGAGGACTGCTCTCAGAAGAACTAATTGTGTTCTTTTTAGCTCTGAATTTAGCAGCTGAATGACTCAATGAACCTCAGGGCCCTATTTTATTTTATTTATTTTTTTGAGACAGGGTCTTGCTCTGTCGCCCAGGCTGTAGTGCAGTGGTGTGATTACGGCTCACTGTAGCCTGGACTTCCTGGGCTCAAGCGATCCTCCCACCTCTGCCTCCTGAGTACCTGGGACTATAGGCGCTTGCCACTACTCCTGACTAGACAGGGTCTCACAGTGCTACCCAGGCTGGTCTTGCCATCTGCCTGTCTCGGCCTCCCAAAGTTCTGGGATTGCAGGCATGAGTCTCCTTACCTGGCCCCAGGGCCTTAACTTTAAAATCTGTCATGCTTTCTTCTCTCTTTTATCAGGATTAAATATGATAATATATGTGAATAGACTTTATAAGGTATTACATGAATGTAGAGTGACATTTATTGTGACACCCAGGTGCTGATGATTGTAGTTAAAGGATGATTGACGCAACCTGAAAGATTGCAACTTTCAGAGACTGGGGCAACTTTGGGTTCCATACCTTTTTAAATAAAGAGGGGTGCTGATTGGATAGACAGTGTGGGTCAGTCTTGGAAATAATTGTCAGAATTTATCAAATCATAGAAAAACTCTATTTATTATTTCTACTTGGATGCAGACAAAAACTTATAAAGATAAATTTGTTTTCTCTTACTTGCCTGGAAAAGAGGTTGTTACTGTGAGTGCCTTCATTTATTAAATTAATTAATTATATTTAACATTGCTTATTTATGTTTTATAAACTTATTGAGATGAACATGACATAATATAAAATTGGCATTTTAATGTGAACAACTCAGTGGCATTTATTTACCTTCACAAAGTGGTACAACCACCACTTCTGTGTAGTTCCAAAACATTTTTCCTGAATGCCTTTTTATTTTATTTTTATTTATTTATTTATTTATTTATTTTTTGAGACGGAGTCTCGCTCTGTTGCCCAGGCTGGAGTGCCATGGCGCAATCTTGGCTCTCTGCAAGCTCCGCCTCCCAGGTTCACACCATTCTCCTGCCTCAGTCTCCCTACTAGCTGGGACTACAGGCGCCCGCCACCACGCCCGGCTAATTTTTTTTTTTTTTTTGTATTTTTAATAGAGACGGGGTTTCACCGTGTTAGCCAGGATGGTCTCAATCTCCTGACTTTGTGATCCACCCACGTTGGCCTCCCAAAGTGCTGGGATTACAGGCGTGAGCCACCGCGCCCGGCCTTTATTTATTTATTTTTTGAAACGGAGTTTCACTTTTGTTGCCCAGGCAGGAGTGCAATGGTGCGATCTCGGCTCACTGCAACCTCCACCTCTTAGGTTCAAGCAATTCTACTGCCTCAGCCTCCTGAGTAGCTGGGATTACAGGCGCCTGTCACCACGCCAAGCTATTTTTTTGTATTTTTAGTAGAGACAGGGTTTCACTAGGTTGGCCAGGCTGGTCCCGAACTCCTGACCTCAGGTGATGTACCCACCTTGGTCTCCCAAAGTGCTGAGATTGCAGGCGTGAGCCACTGCACCTGTCGAATGCCTTTTTAGAGTGCTGACAGTCCACCGCACTTGACAGTGACTCTCTCTGTCTCAGTTAGATTGTTACAGGTCAGATTGATTTTTGTTTCTCCTCTTTCTTGGACAGAGCTCGAAAGAGTATCCCAGACACATATGCAGAGCACCTCATTGCCAGTGGACTCATGACGCAGGAGGAGGTGTCTGAAATAAAATCCTCCTACTATGCTAAGTTGAATGATCACTTAAATAACATGGCCCACTACAGCCCCCCTGCCCTGAACCTGCAGGCCCACTGGCAGGGCCTGGCTCAGCCAGAAGCACGAATCACCACCTGGAGCACAGGTGTGCCCCTCGACCTTCTGCAGTTTGTTGGCGTGAAGTCTGTAGAGGTGCCAAGAGAGCTGCAGATGCACAGTCACCTGCTGAAGACACATGTTCAGGTGGGCAGCTTCCAAATGGCTGGTTATTGCTTCTCCTTCCTGCTCAGCCAAGGGACTGACATTGGTCTGGTCTTTTTGGTTGGCTGATTCATTTGACAGAAATTTATTGTGTGTCATTAGGTTCTAGAAACTGATCCTAGGGTTGTTTTGGTACTGATAGTTACCTCAGATTTTCTCTACTTTTCTTTTTCCTTCATGTATTTATGCATGTTCATACATTACATATACCTGGAATACATGTACACTATAAAAAAATACAGAGATACAAGAATGTCTGTTTTTTTTTTTTTTTGAGACGGAGTCTCGCTGTGTCACCCAGGCTGGAGTGCAGTGGCCCGATCTCGGCTCACTGCAAGCTCCGCCTCCCGGGTTTACGCCATTCTCCTGCCTCAGCCTCCGAGTAGCTGGGACTACAGGCGCCCACCACCACGCCCGGCTAGTTTTTTGTATTTTTAGTAGAGACGGGGTTTCACCATGTTAGCCAGGATGGTCTCGATCTCCTGACTTCGTGATCCACCCGCCTCGGCCTCCCAAAGTACTGGGATTACAGGCTTGAGCCACCGCGCCCGGCCTCTGTTTTTATTTTTTCAACCAGTGAGTAGAAAATACTTTAATTGTTTCAGCCGGCTTAAATAAAAGAAACAAAAATCAACACACATACCCCAAAGAAGCCCCATAAACATGCCAACATTTTACGTATTGTCTTAGTATCACTATAGGATGACAAACGGCCCTGGTGGGCCTGGGACTTAGGGGTTTTCTAGAGTGTGGGACTTTCATAGGGGTTTCTTGGAGTGTGGAACTTTCAGTGCTAAAACATGGAGAGCAAAGAGTTAAAGGTCTTTATCTTTTTTAAGCTTGAAGAGGAAGGAAATTTGCCCTCTAAATTATTTTATTTTATGTTATTTTTGAGATGGAATCTTGCTGTGTCTCCCTGGCTGGAGTGCAGTGGTGCGATCTCAGCTCACTGCAACCTCTGCCTCCCAGGTTCAAGCGATTCTCCTGCCTCAGCCTCCTGAGTAGCTGGGATGACAGGCACGTGCCACCGTGCCCAGCTAATTTTTGTATTTTTAGTAGAGATGAGTTTTCACCATTTGGCCAGGTTGGTCTTGAACTCCTGACCTCAGTTGATCCATCCACTTAGGCCTCCCAAAGTGCTGGGATTACAGGTGTGAGCCGCTGTGCCCAACACGAATTATTTTCAAACACTAACTTGGCCAGGCATGGTGGCTCCTATCTGTAATACCAGTGCTTTGGAAGGCGAAGGTGGAAGGATTGCTTGAGCCCAGAAGTTCAAGACCAGCCTGGGCAACATAGTGAGACCTCATCGCTAGTAAAGATTAAAAAAATAGCCTGGCATGCTGGCGCATGCCTATAGTCTCAGCTCCTCAGGAGGCTGAGGTGGGAGGATTGCTTGAGGCCAGAAGGTTGAACCTGCAGTGAGCTGAGATTGTGCCACTGTACTCCAGCTTGGGTGACAGAATGAGACCCTGTTTCTCCAAAAAAAAAAAGAAATTAAAATTAAAACAATCCATTAACTCTAAGTTTTTGTTATAGGTACAGAGACTATTACAACAAACTATTAATATGTACTCATCATCACCCAGCTTAGGAAATAGGATATTATAAATACAGTTGCCCACATACTCCTCCTTGATCCGTCTCCTCCCACCTCTGCAGAGGTAACCACTAACCTGAGCACGTGTTTGTTTTACCTGTTTTAAAATTGTATGTAGGCCGGGTGTGGTGGCTCATGCCTGTAATCCCAGCACTGTGGGAGGCCGAGCCAGGCAGATCATTTGAGTTCAGGGGTTCAAGACCAGTCTGACCAACATCACGAAACCCCTTCTCCACTAAAAAGTACAAAAATTAGCTGGGTGTGGTGGTGTGCACCAGTAGTCCCAGCTACTCAGGAGGCTGAGGCAGGAGAATCACTTGAACCAGGGAGGCCAAGGTTGCAGTCAGCCAAGATCGCACCACTGCTCTCTAGCCTGTGTGAGAGAGACTGTCTCAGAAAAAACAAAACAAAACAAACCAACTGTATATAATTGCTCTCTTTCTCTAATGTATCCCTTTGCACTCTGTTTTTATTCAGCATTTTTTTTGATGCTTAATTTTGTTGCATTAATTTGTTTTTTTTTTTTTTTGAGACCGAGCCTTGCTCTGTCGCCCAGGCTATAGTGTAGTGGAGCCATCTCAGTTCACTGCACTGCACCCTCCACCTCTCAGGTTCAAGTGATTCCCTGCCTCAGCTTCCTGAGTAGCTGGGATCATAGGAACATGCCACCAGGCCTGGCTAAGTTTTGTATTTTTAGTAGAGATGGGGTTTCACCATGTTGTCCAGGCTGATCTCGAATTCCTCAAGTGATCCACCTGCCTCGGCCTCCCAAAGTGCTGGGATTACAGGCGTGAGCCACCATGCCTGGCCTGCATTAAATTTTTTGTACTCATTGTGAAAAAGGAGATGGATTCTTAGACATTCCTTTTTTTCTTCCTCTGAATTTTACAGTCCAGAATGGAGAAGATGATGGATGGAACCAAGCTAGACTGGGCCACTGCGGAAGCTCTCGCCTTGGGTTCCTTACTTGCTCAAGGTAAGAATTTTCTGTCTAGCTAGTAGAGAGTACTTTTAATCATGTTTGCTACCTGTTACCTTTCAGTTTATTTGAGTTATAACTACCTCCCATTGTGTTCATTGATCAGAGAGGTTCTAAAACATGTTAATTTTTCTTTCCTGACAATATTACTTTATTGTAGTATAAGTCATGCTGACAACCTTCATCAGAGTATAGACATAGGACAGTTATGCCTGGGAAACAAAGGGCTAGTGCTGGATGTACTGGAAAGATAGTTTTCTCTAAAAATTGCAGGGCACATGATACCTCTCCATTCTTACAGAATCTCATCTTAACTATAGACTTTTGAATATCAGACAGCATATATTAATAACTATCTGTTATCCTAAGGAAAATTCTCAGGATTAAGCCAGTATATAAGAATTTAGAGTCACCACACCTTATTATTAGGTTATTTATGGGAATCTGACTTTTTTTTTTCTTGCTTGCTTAAGGTTTTAATGTTCGTCTAAGTGGCCAAGATGTTGGCCGTGGAACTTTCAGTCAGAGACATGCAATGGTGGTTTGCCAGGAGACCGATGACACCTACATCCCCCTGAACCATATGGACCCCAATCAGAAGGGATTTCTAGAGGTGAGATGTTTCTATAGCTGTTGTAAAATCCAGGTGCCAACCATTACAGTTCCAGGATCTTAGAACAAATAGGAACGAGTGCTGGCAACTTTGGGTTCAGTACCTTTGGAAGTAAAGGGCTACTAGATGGGTGGATGAGGTGGGTCTGTCAATTTGGGATGGAAGTAACCCACTAGAGAGTAGGCTGGAGCTTTCTTCTTCTGGTGACTTATCTGTAATCATGTAAATGTCAAATCGATGTGTTTTGTCAACTCAAAGTTGACATTATCATCTGCATATTGCGGTAATTCATTAAAGTTATTCAAAGATGTGGATGAGTCAGTATTCCTTGCCTACTTAAGGAAAGCAAAATCGCGCATCCTCAAGGTTACCTGTTCCCTAAGGTATGATCGATTTGACGAATGTACACATAACCATGTATTTCTTTCTTTTTTTTTTTTGAGACTTAATCTTCCTCTATTGCCCAGGCTGGAGTGCAGTGGTGCCATCTTGGCTCACTGCAGCCTCCACCTCCTAGGCTCAAGGGATCCTCATGCTTCAACCTCCTGAATGGCTGGGACCATGGGCATGAGGTGCCATTCCTGGCTAATTTATTTATTTTTTGTAGAGATGGAGTTTTGCCCTATTGTTCAGGCTGGTCTTGAACTCCTGGCCTCAAGCAGTCCACCTGCCTTGGCGTCCCAAAGTGCTGGAAGTATAGGTGTGAGCCGCTGCACCCAGCCAGATGTAGCCATGTATTTCTGTGTAGCAGCTTCTGTGCCCTTCTCTTTCGTGCCTTAAGGATAGTAGTGGAGTTTTCATTTATTTACCTCAAACAAGTATTCAAGTGTCTAGCACATGATGTTTATGAAAATAACTTACTCCTTAAGGTAAGTTGAGTGGCATGTCATCTTCTTTTCTACTCTAGCCATTAGTTTGAGAACATCATCTTGAGTTACTGACACTCTATAAAAAATTCATTTGGCGGCCGGGTGTGGTGGCTCACACCTGTAATCCCAGCACTTTGGTAGGCTGAGGTGGGCAGATCACGAGGTCACCATTTTGACCATCCTGGCCAAAATGGTGAAACCCCATTTCTACTAAAAATACAAAAATTAGCTGGGCGTGGTGGCACGTGTCTGTAGTCCCAGCTATTCAGGAGGTTGAGGCAGGAGAATCGCTTGAACCCGTGAGGTGGAGGTGGAGGTTGTAGTGAGCTGAGATCGCGCCACTGCACTCCAGCCTAGTGATAGAGCAAGACTCCATTTCAAAAAAAAAAAAAAAATTCACTTGGCAAAAGCCACATTTTAGGAAGATAACTGAAGGGATATGGAGCTCATCTTTTCTTTAAGTTAGTCCAAAATCTACCCTTGGATCAAGTCAGATTGCTAAACTAGATAATGAAATGTTTAGTATTCCCCTACCTCACATGAAGCTTTCATTGAATTGTGCTTTGATGTTTATTATCAGTTTTGAATTTTGCTATTGAAAAAGTCCCAATTAAATACCTGTGTCTATTTTGTGGATACTGTTGAAGATTTAATTTATATTTATTTATTTATTTTTGAGTCGCAGCCTCACTCTGTCACCCAGGCTGGAGTGCCATGGCATGATCTTGGCTTACTCCAACCTCTGCCTCCTGGGTTGGAGCAGTTCTCCTGCCTCAGCCTCCCAAGTAGCTGGGATTATTTGGCTTCCCAGAGTGCTGGGATTACAGGTGTGAACCACCATACCTGGCTGAAGATTTAATTTATTATTTAGGCTGGGTGTGGTTGCTTACACCTGTAATCCCAGCACTTTGGGAGGCCAAGGTGGGCAGGAGTTCAACACTGGCCTGGCCAACATGGTGAAACCCTGTCTCTACTAAAAATACAAAAATTGGTCGGGCATGGTGGCACATGCCTGTAATCCCAGCTACTCGGGAGGTTGAGGCAGAATTGCTTGAACCCAGGAGGCGGAGGTAGTGAGCCGAGATCATACCACTACACTCCAGCTTGGGCAACAGAGCAAGACTCTGTCTCAAAAAATAATAATAGTAATTTATTATTTAATACCATGTCCTCTATGTGAAAACCCTGGGAGAAACTCCTGCTTGATCTTGGTAGTGAGAGTAGCTGTATTTTCGTAAGCAGTGATCTGCCTTCATTGTCTGTATTGAATTTTATAACTGACCAGCGTTCCCTTATCAATAATGGCTTCTAGGAAGGGACAGAGGCCAGGCAGCCTTCATGATAAGTGAATAGGTCCTTGGGGTGTGTTTTTCCCCCCAACTCTGTTGTACATCTCAATCTTTGTGTGTGTGTATATGTGTGTGTGTGTGTGTGTGTGTGTGTGTGACAGGTCCTCCTCTGTTGCCCAGGCTGGAGTCCCATGGTGCAATTATAGCTCACTGTAGCCTTCAGCTGTTAGGCACAAGCAATTCTCCCACCTCAGCCTCTCAAGTAGCTGGGACTACAGGCAAGCACCACCAGGCCTGGCTAACCGTAAATATTTTGTAGAGATAGGGGTCTCACTGTGATGGCCAGTGTCGTCTTGAATTCCTGGCCTCAAGCAATCCTCCTGCCTTGGCCTCCCAAAGTGCTGGGATTATAGGCGTGAGCCGCTGTGCCCAGCCTAGAGGGTTTTTATTTTTTTAAATAAAAGCTTTATTGAGCTATAACTCATAAAATTCAACCTCTCAGTGTGTACACTTGAGCAGTTTGTAGTCTATTCACAGAGTTGTGTAATCATCACCACTATCTAATTTTAGAACATTTTCATTGCCCTAGAAAGAAAGCCCACGCCCATTAGCAGTCACTGCCCACTTCTTCCTCCCTCCAGCCCCTGGACACTACTCATCGACTTGTTTCTATTGATCTGCCTATTTTGGATGTTTCATGTAAATAGGATGGTATAACATGTGGCCTTTTGTGACTGGCTTCTTTGACTTGGCATCATGTTTTCAAGGTCCATCCATGCATGTAGCATGTATCAGTTCATCCTGGTTTTTTTTTTTTTTTTTTTTGAGACCAAGTCTTGCTCTGTCACCCAGGCTGGAGTGCCGTGGCGTAATCTCGGCTCACTGCAAGCTCAGCTTCTTAGGTTAAAGTGGTTCTCCCACCTCAGCCTCCTGAGTATCTGGGACTGCAGATGTGTGCCACCAGGCCTTGCTAATTTTTGTGTTTGTAGCAGAGACTGGGTCTTGTCACATTGGCCAGGCTGATCTCAAACTTCTGACCTCAAGTGATCTGCCCATCTCAGCCTCCCAAAGTGCTGAGATTATAGGCGTGAGCCACCACACTCTGCCCATCCTTCCCTTTTATTCCAAAATAATATTCTATAAAGATGTGACTTAAGCATATGTTTTTTTAAAATTTGAAAGACACACAAAATTACCAAAATGTATACAGTAAGGAACATTTTCTCATTTTTTTTTTTCTTTTGAGACAGGATCTCGCTCTGTCACGCAGGCTGGGGTGTAGTGATGCAATCACAGCTCGCTGCAGCCTCAACCTCCTATGTCCAAGTGATCCTCCTACCTCCTCTTTTCCATCTTGAACCATTTGAGAGCAGGTTGCCATCCTGGTGCCCCCTAGTGTGTATTTCCACAAACAGGGACATCCTTCTCCATCATAACACACCAAAATCAGGAAATTAACACAGACATGACTACCATGTATTTCTCAAACCAAGATCAGCCATTTTTTTTCTTTTCTTTCTTTTTTTTTTTTTTTTTGAGGTAGAGTCTCACTCTGTTGCCCAGGCTAGAGTGCAGTGGCGCAATTTCGGCTCAATGCAACCTCCACCTCACAGGTTCAAGCAATCCTCCCACCTCAGCCTCCTAAGTAGTTGGGACTACGGGTATGTGCCACCACGCCCAGCTAATTTTTGTCTGCTTTTTGTAGAGACGGGGTTTTGCCATGTTGCCCAGGTTGGTCTCAAACTCCTGTGCTCATGCGATCCTTCCATCTTGGCCTCCCAACTCCCAAATTGTTGGGAGGCCACCACGCCCGGCCACAGGTTTTTGAAAACCTTGTAAGACACAGTTGTATACTTAGCTCTAGAGGAGGGTCATCTGAGAAGTATATGTGCTTATCCTTGAAGAAACTCTGTAATACCCATATTCTGGCCTCTTTTATCTTTTCCTCTCTTTGTCCCAACTTTTCTCATCTGCATCCCTGACACCAAGCAGCAAATCTCTTCTCAAAAGAATGTGGTGATGAGGCCGGGCGTGGTGGCTCATGCCTGTAACCCCAGCACTTTGAGGGGCCAAGGTGGGTGGATCACCTGAGCTCAGCAGTTTGAGACCAGCCTGGTCAACATGCTGAAATCCTGTCTCTACTAAAAATACAAAAATTAACTGGGCGTGGTGGCGGGCACCTGTAATCCCAGCTACTCAGGAGGCTGAGACAGGAGAATCGCTTGAACCTGGGAGGCGGAGGTTGCAGTGAGCTGAGATGGAGCCATTGCACTCCAGCCTGGGTGACAAAAGCGAAACTCCATCTCAAAAAACAAAAACAAACAAACAAAAAGAATGTGGTGATGAATGAGAGCAAGGCTCCCTCTCCTCACCACCTCCCTTTGATAAGTTCCCAGGAACCCAATGCTCTGCCCTTGCCCTCACATGCCAGCGTTTCCTTCTCTTCCCTGGGATTAGGTCAGCAACAGCCCCCTGTCAGAAGAGGCCGTCTTGGGATTCGAATACGGGATGAGCATTGAGAGCCCAAAGTTACTGCCCCTGTGGGAGGCACAGTTTGGTGATTTCTTCAATGGTGCCCAGATCATCTTTGACACATTCATCTCTGGAGGTTGGTGTCAGTGTATAAGGTGGGTACAGGTGGGGGTCCCTGCATGGCCCCAGCCTCATGGGGACAAATGAATGAAAAGGGGCCGCTGCTGCCTGTGAGACTCCCGTGTGTAGCGGCACCTCCAGGGAGTTGGGGTCACTCTGTTATGACGGGAGTGTAGCCACTGTCAGGTTCATGTGTTACTAGGACAAACACCCTAGCTCTCTGTCAGCAGGAGCACTGGTGCCACCCAGCGCCTGTGCCCAGGAGTCAGTAGGGCCATGAAAACCCGCTCCAGTGTCTGAAAACTTCCAAAGCAGTACCTGCTCACTGTAAAAATTAGAAGGAATTGAAGTAAACATCTGAGTCTCTCCCCAGACCCTGAATCCCATTTTCCAGGGATGCCCATTCTTGGGTTTTGAATACCCGCCTTCAGTCTTTCCGATAGTCATGCTTCTCTGTAACATTTTCACTGGGAGGAACAGAAGTGCCTGAGGAGCCTGGACTTCTGACTTGTCCAGAGACTGTTCTGTCGTGTCCACCATGCCCTGTTTCAAGACAGTGGCCTGTGTTGTCAGCCGGGCTGTGAGAAAGCTGGGAGCTGCGCATTCTTGTAAGAGTGGTGCCTGCAGTGATATCGGAGTGGCATGTGCTGTCCAGGAAGCTGGGAACATTCCCCTTTGAGTTTGTCTTCCACTCGTAAAAGCCCAGGGCCTGTGCCGTGATAGGTTATGATTTTCTTTTTTGAGACGGAGTCTCACTCTGTCCCCTAGGCTGGTGTGCAGTGGCACGAACTCAGCTCACTGCAACCTCTACCTCCCGGGGTCAAGTGATTCTCCCACCTCAGCCTCAAGAGTAGCTGGGACTACAGACGTGCACCACTACACCTGGCTAATTTTTGTATTTTTAGTAGAGACGGGGTTTCACCATGTTGGCCAGGCTGGTCTCAAACTCCTGACCTCAAGTGATGCATCCGCCTCAGCCCCCCAAAGTGCTGGGATTACAGGTGTGAGCCACCGTGCCCAGCCCATGATAAGTTTTCATTCAACGAAATGGACATTTCCCTAAGTATAGCATAATAGTTCTAGAAAGTGCATGTAATAAAAGCAGTTTTGGGGGGTCAGGCAGAAAACTAACATTGATTTCCCCAGCTGAGTCACGTGAGGCCACTTTGTCCCCGCTTCGCAGAGCTCTTACTCACCACATGGTGCTTTTCCAGGAGAAGCCAAGTGGCTCCTCCAAAGCGGCCTCGTCATCCTCCTTCCACACGGCTACGACGGGGCTGGGCCAGACCACTCATCCTGTCGAATAGAGCGTTTCCTGCAGGTAAGGCAATGTCTTCTGGAGTCAAACAATCACTGTCCTGCTTCCTAGAGCTTTTTTCTACCTCCTGCGGGTAGCTGAACGCCCACCTAACTGTAAGATAGCTCAGTATTTGAGTGAAACAGATTTGATGCAATGTCAATTTTCTTCAGAAACATAATGTATCAGGTATAATAGTATCACGGTTTTATGGCAATTAAAGTTCTCTTGTGCCAGGATCAGCAGTTCTTATACCAGACTGATCATCAGAATCTCCTAGACACCTTTTTTTTTTTTTTTTTTTGAGATGGGGTCTCGCTCTGTTGCCCAGGCTGGTATGCAGTGGTATGATCTCGGCTATTGCAACCTCTGCCCCTTGGGTTAAAGCGCTTCTCCTGCCTCAGCCTCCAAGTAGCTGGAACCACAGTCATATGCCACCATGCCCGGCTAATTTTGTGTTTTTAGTAGAGATTGGTGTTCTTGCATGTTGGCCATGCTGGTCTGAAACTCCTGGCCTCAAGTGATACGCCCGCCTCAGCCTCCCAAGGTGTTGGGATTACAGGCACGAGCCACCGACCCTGGCTGGTTATTAAAACATTTGAAATATCCTCCCAGAAATAGCCATTGTCCTCATTTTGTGTGAATCATTACAAATGTCTCTTTTTGCATGTTACTTCCTTATGGTTTATTATGAAGACTTTCAGATATACAGAAAAGTTGAAAAGAATTTACTGTGAATAAGCTGGGCGCGGTGGCTCAAGCCTGTAATCCCAGCACTTTGGGAGGCCGAGACGGGCGGATCACGAGGTCAGGAGATCGAGACCATCCTGGCTAACACGGTGAAACCCCGTCTCTACTAAAAAATACAAAAAACTAGCCGGGCACGGTGGCAGGCGCCTGTAGTCCCAACTACTCGGGACGCTGAGGCAGGAGAATGGCGTGAACCCGGGAGGCGGAGCTTGCAGTGAGCTGAGATCCGGCCACTGCACTCCAGCCTGGGCGGCAGAGCGAGACTCCGTCTCAAAAAAAAAAAAAAAAAAAAAAAAGAATTTACTGTGAATACTCATATACCCACTCCCTAGAATTCACCATTATTTTTTATTATACTTGTTTTGTCACATATCTATTTGTCTGTCATTCTGGTATCATTCAATCCATCTTATTTTTTGATTCATTTCAAAATAAATGGAGATATCAGCCGGGCACAGTGGCTCACACCTGTAATCCCAGCACTTTGGGAGACCAAGGCAGGTGGATCACTTGATGTCAGGAGTTTGAGACCAGCCTGGCTAACATGGTGAAACCCCATCTTTACTAAAAATACAAAAATTAGCCAGGTGTGGTGGCTCATGCCTGTAATCCAAGCTACTCAGGAGCCTGAGGCAGGAGAATCGCTTGAACCCAGGAGGCAGAGGTTGCAGTGAGCCAAGATCACGCCATGGCACTCCAGCCTGGACAGCAAAGACTCTGTCTCAAAAAATTAAATAAATAAATAAATAAATACATACATACATACATACATATGTACATAAATAATAAATAAATAGAGATATCAATACATGTCACCCCAAGTACTTCAGCATGCATATCGTTAATGATTTTGGCATGTGTGCCGCTAAAATGTATAAATAGATGATAGCTTAATAGATAGGTAGATAGAACAACAGATAGATGGATAGTTACATTAATGATGACATCAAGAATTTTATTTAAAAAGAAATTAGAGTAATGGTAGATAAACTAAAGAATGACATGTGAAATACAAAACTACTAGTTTTTGAAGAAATAGAGGAAATGGGTAGGTGCGGGATACAGTTTCGGAGTCATTGGCCACTAGATGACATTGACAGTCATGAATCTGGATGAAGTCATCAAAGCAGTAAGCACAGTGGAAGAGAAAAGGTGCCTGAGCTCTGGACCCTGGGATAGTCCAACGTCAGAGGATGCAGAGAAGAAGAGTAAGTGAGATGAAGAAGGAGCAACCAGTGAGGTGGGAGGAAGATCTTAGAAAGCAAGCGAAGGAAACATATCAAAGAAGAGGGAGTGTCAATGTCAATTAAGATGAGGAGTGAAGTAATCCCAGCACTTTGAGAGGCCGAGGTGGGAGGATCACTTGAACCCAGGAGTTTGAGACCAGCCTGGGCAACACAGTGAGACCCTGTCTCTACTAAAAATATACAAATAATAAATAGATGAGGCATAAGAATGAACCACTGGATTTAGAAATCAGGAGTCCATTTGATGGTTGATGACATACTAAGGACCATCTAGAGCAACCCGTCCAACCTGTGTCCATGGACCACATGCAGCTCAGACCAGCTTTGAATGTGGCCCAATACAAATTCATAAACTTTCTTAAAACATTATTTGTGATTTTCTTTTTTTTGTACCTTATTAGCCATTGTTAGTGTATTTTATGTGTGGCCCAAGATGATTCTTCTTCCAGTGTGGCTCAGGGAAGCCAAAAGATTGGACACCCCTGATTCCTGATTCTAGAGAAAAGGAAGTGTATTTATTTAAAAATTGTAATTGACAAATGTAAAATTGTATATATTAATGGTATAAAATGTGATGTTTTGATGTAGGTATACATTGTGAAATGATTGAATCAAGCAATTAACAGACCCATCACCTCACATACTCACCATTTTTTTGGGAAGAGAACATTTAAAATCTATCCTCTTGGCAGTTTTCAGGTATATAGTACGTTAACTGCAGTCACCGTCCTGTGCAGTAGATCTCCAGAACATATTCCAGGGAGGAAAGTGGGCCGAGCGCGGTGGCGCATGCCTGTCATCCCAGCACTTTGGGAGGCCGGGGTGGGAGGAGCACTTGCTCAGGAGTTTGAGACTAGCCTGGGCAACATGGTGAGACCCCATCTCTGCTAAAAATAAAACTAAAAAAATTAGCTGGGCGGTGGTGCATGCCCACAATCCCAGCTACTTGGGAGGCTGAGGTGGGAGGATCACTTGACCCTGGGAGGCAGAGGTTGTAGTGAGCTGAGGTTTCGCCACTGTATTCCAGCCTGGGCAAGAGAGCCAGACCCTGTCTCAAAAAAAAAAAAAAAAAAAAAAGGGAGGAAAGTCAACTTAAATCTTTTGAGGAGTATTGCTGTAAATAGAATAAGAAAATGGGACAATAGCTGGTGGGGAAATTTGTGTCAAGAGTTCTTTTTGTGTTTTGTTTTCTTTTTGAGATGGCGTCTTGCTCTGTCACCCAGGCTGGAGTAAAATGGTGCAGTCTTGGCTCTCTGCAACCTCTGCTTCCCAGGTTCAAGCAATTCTCCTGCCTCAGCCTCCCGAGTACCTGGGATTATAGGTGTGTGCCATGATGCCCGGCTAAGTTTTGTATTTTTAGTAGAGACAGGGTTTCACCATGTTGGCCAGGCTGCTCTTGAACCCCTGCCCTCATGTGATACTGCCTCCTTGGCTTCCCAAAGTGCTAGGATTTCAGGTGTGGGCCACCGTGCCAGGCCTTTGTTTTGTGTTAAAGGTAGGAAATAAGGCCTGTTTGGTGACAGGCATGATCTAGTAGAGAAGAAGAGAATGGTGATGTAGGGGTGAGGGCAGAATAACTGAATGATTTCCTTGCATGCTTAAGATGGGGTAGGCTCTAGTACATGGTGGCTTAAATTAGCTTTAGACAGGAGCATGGTTGGTGGCAGTAAATGGAAGGCAGAGAAGATGGGTGCAGGTGAGAATGTGTGTGTAGATGGTCTGAAGACATGCTCTGAGGTCATTAGCTGAGAGTGGTGATGGACGAGGAGGTCCTGAGTTTAAAGGTGTGAATTAGTCACCTGGGAAAGAAGGAGAATGAGTGAATTAGGGAAATAGAGTTTAAGAGTCTAAGGTCATTAAGGCCACACCTGAGATTCTTGGTCAGGATTCTAAAGACCATTGGTGTGATTTTGTGTTGTCTCCAGCTACATTCTCTGCAGACATGGAACAGGCAGAAAGTGGGGATTAACTAGGTTTATGGGTTGGAGTGAAGGGTCAAGGGAATCAAGTGTGTATGCAAAAAGAAGATGATCATGATTAAGGCCAGGCACGGTGGCTCATGCCTGTAATCCCAGCAGTTTGGGTGGCTGAGGCGGGAGGATCACTTGAACCCAGAAGTTTGAGACCAGCCTGGGCATCATAACGAGACCCCATCTCTACAAAAATTTTAAAATTAGTCAGGTGTGGTAGCAGGCACCTGTAGTCCCAGCTACTTGGGAGGTTCTGGTGGGAGGATTGCTTGAGTCCAGAGTTTGAGGTTACAGTATGCTGTGATTGTGCCACTGAACTCCAGCCTGGGCGAGAGAGCGAGACTCTGTAACAACAACAACAAAAAGAATTGTCCAGATTTTGTCAACTCTCTTTCTTTCCTTTCACTGCCTTTGGGGTAGGGTTAGGAGTTATGCCTCGGCTTTCTGTCCCACCAGGATCTTCTGAGATTTAACTTCCTTGCCCTGAATTTTTCAACCTTTCTATGAGCTGCTTTTAATTTTGTTTTTGTCTTAAAACACACACACATACACACAGACACACACACCGACAATCATTTTGTTTATTACATTAGGAAAGTGAGATTCTGATAGTGCTTCCTTCCCCTATCTTAACCCTGTAGTAATCAGAATATGTATTTTTTTTTTTTTAAAAAAAGTTCTTTCCAGATGATTGTTGCTGTCCAGCCGTGTTTGGAAACAATTGTGTTAGATGACACAGAATTGGGCCAGTGGAGAAAGCCATCAGAGCTCTCCTTTGGTTAATACCTCACTGTTCATTAATGCACCTGCTGGTATTTTTGTGTAATGTTGGGCAATAGCTTTTCTGCTGTAATTGAGAACACCTGTGTTTCCCTTTGGCTAGCCCATTGTCACTACGACTGAAATAGATGATCTGAATATTCTTCTCCTTTCTTGCCACTTCTCTCCCAGATGTGTGACAGTGTGGAAGAGGGGGTGGACGGAGACACTGTGAACATGTTTGTGGTTCATCCAACAACTCCTGCACAGTATTTCCACTTGCTTAGAAGACAAATGGTCCGGAACTTCAGAAAACCACTCATTGTTGCTTCGCCTAAGATGTTACTCAGGCTCCCAGTAAGTAGAAGAAGCTGGCGAATAAGCCTTCCTCCTTTTGTCATTTTTTGCACTCCATTTTTCTCTATTTTCCATATCTAATTATATTTACATTACAGAAACACCTTTTTAGTTTCAACTGACTTTGCTACCTTCATTTTTTTTGTTGTTTTTTTGAGACACAGTCTCACTCTTGTTGCTCAGGCTGGAGTGCAATGGTGCAATCTCAGCCCATTGCAACCTCTGACTCCTGGGTTTAAGCAATTCTCCTGCCTCACCCTCCCAAGTGGCTGAGATTACAGGTGTGCACCACCACCCCCAGCTAATTTTTGTATTTTTAGTAGAGACGGGGTTTCGCCATGTTGGCCAGACAGGTCTCTAACTGTTGACCTCAGGTGATCTGCCCGCCTTGGCCTCCCAAAGTACTGGGATTACAGGCGTGAGCTACCACACCCGGCCTGCTTTCATTTTTTGAACAGCCTTTTAAGACTACCTGGAAAGATAGGTAGGTTTTCTGTCAATCATAATGAAGGACAGGGATAGCAGATGTTACACTAGTGTCCTCCTGAGCAGAAATAATATTTACACAAGCTTTTAGGCTATTAGGTGGGGCACCGTGGCTCAGGCCTATAATACCAGGACTTTGGGAGGCCTCAGCAAGAGGATCGCTTGAGCCCAGGAGTTTGAGAGCAGCCTGGGCAACATTGTAAGACCCCATCTCTAAAAAAAAAAAAAAAAATTAGCTGGTTTGGTGGCTCACACCTGTGCTCTCAGCTACGCAGGAGGCTGAGATGGGAGCATCTCTTGAGCCCTGGATTTCAAGGCTGCAGTGAGGTAGGACCAGGCCACTACAGTCCAGCCTGGGCAACACAGCAAGACCTTGTCTGAAAAAGAAAAGAAAAAGTTTTAAAGCCCAAATGGTCTAAGCACTATTTTTGTTGATAGCAGCAATTTGGGAATTCAAAGTATTTTGTTGGAAATGAATGGTATTATTTATCATTCTTTTTTTTTTTTTTTTTGAGATGGAGTCTTGCTTGCACTGTTGCCCAGGCTGGAGTGCAGTGTGAAATTCATCATTTCATCATTTAACACATACTTAGGTTTACCTATTTATGTGTTAAGTGTACATTATGTTTTTCAAATCACAAAAATATGCTAGTTTTCAAATGGAAATGTTCAAAATAATAAATACTACTAAGCATATATTTATCCTATCGGCTATAATTTTTTCAGGTTCATATAAGAGTTTTAATTAGAATTAGTATTAAATTTGTTGTTGTTTTATTTTATTTTATTTTATTTTATTATTTTTTTTTTGAGACGGAATCTCGCTCTGTTGCCCACCCAGGCTGGATTGCAGTGGCACTATTTCGGCTCACTGCAACCTCCAGCTCCCAGGTTCAAGCGATTCTCCTGCCTCAGCCTCCTGAGTAGCTGGGATTATAGGCACTCGCCACCACGCCCAGCTAATTTTTGTATTTTTAATAGAGATGGGGTTTCAATGTGTTGGACCAGGTGGTCTCGAACTGCTGGCCTCAGGTGATCCGCCTGCCTCGGCCTCCCAAAGTGCTGGGATTACAGGCATGAGCCACCGTGCCCGGCCGGGAGTATTAAAATTTTTACATTTATTTGGATATGACTGCTGAGGTGAAATAAGACATTTAGAATTCGGCTGTTCAAGAATATCTTGTGCTGTTCGCCAAGGTTCGAGAGTGTATATTTGGAATTGAGGGATACTAAAGAAAAACTGCAAGTCTTGCAATGTTGGTTGGTTCGTTGGTTGGTTTTTTGAGACAGAGTGTTGCTCTGTCACCCAGGCTGGAGTGCAGAGTGTGATCTCCGCTCACTGCAAACTCTGCCTCCCAGGCTCAAGCAATTCTCCTGCCTCAGCCTCCCGAGTAGCTGGGATTACAGGCTTGCACCACCATGCTCAGCTAATTTTTGTATTTTTAGTAGAGTTTCACCATGGTGGCCAAGCTGTTCTCGAACTCCTTGCCTCAAGTGATCAGGCTGACTCGGCTTCCCAAAATGCTGGGATTATAGGTGTGAGCCACTATGCCTGGCCTCGTTGTTTTAAGCAGTTTTTAGCATTCAGAGGGAAGTAGGGAGGTACTCTTTCTGAGGGTTGATATTTTCACAGCCCTAAAATCAGTGCCTCCTTAAACTTTTTGCACTAGGTACGTTACTTGACTCACCCCAGCCCGGCCCTGGGAGTCAGTATCTAGTCAATAGCCAGGAAATGGATTTCAGCCGTCTCACCAATAGCAGCTGTTCATTTCTAGTTCACTTATAGTGGTCTATTGGTTCTTTCTCACCCAGTGTTTCGTGAACAATCTTACATGTTTTGAGGTGACCTCATCAGGTTGGAAGCATCACCGAACATTTAGGAAGAGTTAATGCAATGCCTTTAGCACCGTTTTTCTGGGGTGGGCTCTTTTTTTTCTTTTTCTTTTTGAGACAGAGTCTCACTTTGTCACCCAGGCTGGCATGTAGTGGCATAATCTTGGCTTGCTGCAACCTCTGCCTCCTGAGTTCAAGCAAGGCCTCAGCCTCTGGCATAGCTGGGACTACAGGTGTGCGCCACCACACCCAGCCTTTTTTTTTTTTTTTTTGAGATAGAGTTTTGCTCTGTCACCCAGGCTGAAGTGCAATGGCACGATCTCAGCTCACTGCAACCTCCGTTTCCTGGGTTCAAGCGATTCTCCTGCTTCAGCCTCCCAAGTAGCTGGGATTACAGGTGTGTGCCACCACACCTGGCTCATTTTTGTATTTTTAATAGAGACGAGGTTTCACCATGTGGGCCAGGCTGGTCTCAAACTCCTGGCTTCAAGTGATATGCCTGTCTTGGCCTCCCAAAGTGCTGGGATTACAGGTATGAGCCACCGCGTCCAGCCTGATTCTTTAAATTATATCGTGGCACCAGGTAAAAGGTAATCTCCTTTTAAATTTATTTTTCAATTTTTATTGTCATCCTTGTGCAGGGGCCATGCTAATCTTCTCCGCAGTGTTCTAATTTTAGTATACATGCTGCCAAAATGAGCATAAAAGGCAATCTTTTTATTTTTATTTTTTCTTGAGACGGAGTTTCTCATTATCCACGCTGTAGTTCAATGGTGTGACCTTGGCTCACTGCAACCTCTGGCTCCCAGGTTCAAGCAATTCTCCTGTCTCACCTTCCCAAGTAGCTGGGATTACAGGAACATACCACCACACCTGGCTAACTTTTATACTTTTAGTAGAGACAGGGTTTCACCATGTTGGCCAGGCTGGTCTTGAATTCCTGATGTCAGGAAATCTGTCTGCCTCTCCTTCCCAAATTGCTGGGATTATAGGCATGAGCCACTGCACCTAGTCTTTTTCTTTTTTTTTTTTTTTTGAGACAAGGGCTGGCTCTGTCATCCAGGCTGGAGTGCAGTGGCGTGATCATGGCTTATTGCAACTTCTGCCTTCCAAGCTCAAGCCATCCTCCCACCTCAGCTTCCTGAGTAGCTGGGATTACAGACAGCCATCGTCATGCCTGGCTAATTTTTGTATTTTTGTAGAGATGGGATTTCACCATGTTGGCCAGGCTGGTCTCGAACTCCTGACCTCAGGTGATCTGCCCACCTTGGCTTCCCAAAGTGCTGGGATTACCATCATGAGCCACTGCATCTGGCCTGTTTTTGTTGTTGTTGTTGTTTTTTAAATAGAGGCAGGGCACCAGTGGGGATGGTGGAGTAGGGGGTGTGAAGGGAGTCTCACTGTGTTGCCCAGGCTGGTCTTGAACTCCTGGCCTCAAGTGTTCCTCCTGCCTTGGCCTCTCCAAGTGTTAGGATTCCAAAAGGCTATCTTATGTAACCTCAGAAAAAGTTTTACTCTGAAGTATAGAGAACTGATATTTTTTGGTAAGGTGTTGTATCTATTAGGACATGTGTTTCCTTGCAGTGCTAGGCTGGAACTTTGGCACTCATGTTTGGTAGCAACCCTTGTAAGTGGCAGCATCACCTCTTTCTGTTGCTTGCTGGATGTGTGGCCTCTTCTCCCTTGTAGGCAGCCGTGTCAACTCTTCAAGAAATGGCACCAGGTACAACATTTAACCCAGTCATTGGTGATTCATCTGTGGATCCAGAAAAGTAAGATCTGTGTCTCTGTTTTCATACTCTGCGGCAGAATTTCAATTAATATGAAAAGTAGTTCACGTGAAGAGATGACAGGTGACGCAGATCTCCCCTCTCCTATTTTTATTTATTTATTTATGAGACTGAGTCTGGCTGTATCGCCCAGGCTGGAGTGTACTGGCATGATCTCGGCTCTCTGCAACCTCTGCCTCCCAGATTCAAGTGATTCTCCTGCCTCAGCTTCCCAAGTAGGTGGGATTACAGGCACCCACCACCACACCCTGCTAATTTTTGTATTTTTAGTAGAGATGGGATTTCACCATGTTGGCCAGGCCGGTCTCGAACTCCTGACCTCAGGTTATCCACCCACCTCAGCCTCCCAAAGTGCTGGGATTTACAGGTGTGAGCCACCATGCCTGGCCTCCCTATCCTAATATAACTCCTTTAAGTCAGTGGAGTAGGAGTTAAGTGTGGGTTGGAAAGTGGACTTTGGAGGCACGTGTTGCTGAAGAAGGATCTCTAGGAATAGCCTATGACTAAACCCAGCTGCAGAGACCCCCACCACCTTGTTCATGAGGCCTTTAAATCTGCAGTGTCTCCCCTTCTGACATCATTTTTTTTTTTGAGATGGAGTCTTGCTCTGTTGCCCAGGCTGGAGCGCAGTGGCGCAATCTCAGCTCACTGCAAGCTCCACCTCCCGGGTTCACACCATTCTCCTCCCTCAGCCTCCCAGGTAGCTGGGACTACAGGTGTCCGCCACCACGCCTGGCTAATTTTTTTGTATTCTTAGTAGAGAAAGGGTTTCACCGTGTTAGCCAGGATGGTCTCAATCTCCTGACCTCGTGATCTGCCCACCTCAGCCTCCCAAAGTGCTGAGATTACAGGCGTGAGCCACTGCGCCTGGCCTCTTCTGACATAATTCTTACTTTAAAAAAATTTCCCCCCACCTGCTGTTCCTTTTCTGTCCAACAGGGTTAAGACCCTCGTGTTCTGCTCTGGCAAACATTACTACTCCCTGCTGAAGCAAAGGGAATCTCTCGGGCCCAAGAGGCATGACTTTGCCATCATCCGCGTAGAGGAACTCTGCCCCTTCCCATTGGATTCTTTACAGCAAGAGATGAGCAAATACAAACATGTTAAAGGTAAGGGGTTGTTTTCATTTGGGGTTTTGATGTTCAGATACCCGAAACCCATTTCAACTCTTTCAAATGAAAAGAGGTGGTGGGGATTATTAGAAAATTGAATCTCAGCCGGGTGCAGTGGCTCACACCTGTAATCCCATCACTTTGGCAGGCCAAGGCAGGCAGATCACTTGAGGTCAGGAGTTTGGGACCAGTCTGCCCAACATGGCAAAACCCTATTTTTACTAAAAATATAAAAATTAGCTGGGCGTGGTGGTGCCTGTAGTCCCAGCTACTTGGGTGGCTGAGGCAGGAGGATCGCTTGAGCCTGGGAGACTGAGGCTTCAGCGACCCCGGATTGTGCCACTGCACTCCAGCCTGACCTACAGAGTAAGACCCTGTCTCCAAAAACAAACAAAACAAAGGCCTGGCACAGTGGCTCATGCCTGTAATCCCAGCACTTTGGGAGGCCAAGGTGGGCAGATCACTTGAGGTCAGGAGTTCAAGACCAGTCTGGCCAACATGGAAAAGCCCCATCTCTACTAAAAATACATAAAATAGCCAGGCATGGTGGCAGGCGCCTGTAATCCTAGCTACTCCAGAGGCTGAGGCAGGAAAGTCTCTTGAACTCAGGAGGCGGAACATGCAGTGAGCCAAGACTGTGCCACTGCACTCTAGTCTGGGTGACAGAGTGAGACTCCATTTCAAAAAAACAAAACAAACAAACCCAAAGAAAACAATCCAATTTTTCAAAATGTGCAAAAACTTTGAGTAGGCACTTCTCCAAAGAACTGGATGGCAAATAAGCACTTTGAAAGATGCTCAATATTATTGATGTTAAAATAAATGAAAATTAATCCAAAATGAGGTATGGCCACACACCTCTTAGAAAGGTTAAAACTAAAACAGAACAACAGACTCATGCTATGAAGTGTTGATGAGGAGCAGAGCCACTGGAACCCACACTCGCTGCTCGTGGATGCAAGCTGGTGCTGCCACCTTGGAAAAAAGTATGTTTCTTACAAAGTTAAACACCGAGTTACCATATGCCCCAGCAGTCTTACTCATAGGTATTCACACAAGAGAAGTAAAAACACATTCACAGCCTAGGCATGGTAGCTCATGTTTGTAGTCCCAGCACTTTGGGAGGTCGAGGCAGAAGGATCACTTGAGGCCAGGAGTTGGAGACCAGCTGAGCAATATAGCAAGACCCTGTCTCTACAAAAAATAAAATAAATTAGCTAGGCGTTGTAGCACATGCCTGTAGTTTTAGCCTACTCGAGAGGTTGAGATGGGAAGATTGCTTGAGCCCAGCAGTTCAAGTCTGCAGTAAGCCGTGATCGTACCACTGCACTCCAGCCTGGGTGACAGAGTGAGACCCACTCTCTCAAAAAATTGTTTTTAATTACAAAAGAAGAAATAGTCCAGGCATAGTGGCTTATGCCTGTGCCATCACTTCGGGAGGCCGAGGCAGGTGCATCACTTGAGCTCAGGAGTTCAAGACCAGCCTAGGCAACATGGCAAATCCTCTTTTCTAAAAATCAAATAGAAAAATTAGCCAGGTGTGCTGGCATGTGCCTGTAGTCCCAGCTATCTCGGACGCTGAGGTGGGAGGATCACTTGAGCCTGGGAAGTTGAGGCTGCAGTGAGCTGTGATTACGCCACTATACTCCAGACTGGGTGATAAAATGAGGCCCTGTCTCAAAAAATAATAAAAAACAGGTTTACAGAAACATCTGTGGGCAAGTGTTTATAGCAGCTTTATTCCTAATTGCCCCAAACTGGAAACAACCAAAATGTCCTTCAACCAGTGAATCAATAAACAATTAGTGGCACATCCATATAACGTGCTACTCAGCAATGGAAAGGAGTGAAACTTCGCCGTGCATAACAACATGGATCAATCATAAATGCTTATGACCGTTCCAGGAGCCCCAAGGCTGCGTGATTTCATTGATACGACATTCTGGAAAAGAAACAACTGTAGTGATAGAGAAAAGATTGGTGATTTTCAACGGTGGGGGTGGGAGCTAGAGTCGACTACAAAAGGTCAGGATGAGGAAATTCTGGGGGTTGATAGAACTGTTCTGTATCATGATTGAGATGGTGGATACATGACTGTATTTGCCAGGAAAAAAGAGACAAGCAACACTATGCCATATTGGTAAAGCATATATTTAATTGAATTTGAATATATAGAGAAAAATCTCTCTAAATATATCTCTAGATAATCCCCTTCCTGTTTTGGTTTATGGATGCTCTGCAACTTACGAGGGGGCTACATCCCAATAAATGCATCGTAAGTTGAAAATACTGTTAAATTGAAAATGCAGGCCAGGCACAGTAGCTCACTCCTGTAATCCCAGCACTTTGGGAGGCCGAGGTGGGTGGATCACCTGAGGTTGGGAGTTTGAGACCAGGGTCACCAACATGGTGAAACCCCATCTCTACTAAAAATACAAAAATTAGCCGAGTGTGGTGGCGCATACCTGTAGTCCCAGCTGCTTGGGAGGCTGAGGCAGGAGAATTGCTTGAACCTGGGAGACAGAGGTTTCAGTGAGCTGAGATCGTGCCACTGCACTCCAGCCTGGATGCCAGACTCCGTGTCAAAAAAAAAGAACATGAAAATGTGGTACATATACACCAGGGAATACTATGCATCCTTAAAAAGGAATGAGATCATGTCTTTTGCAGGGACAGGGATGGAGTTGGAGGCCATTATCCTCAGCAAACTAACGCAGGATCAAAAAACCAAATACCGCGTGTTCTCCCTTATAAGCGGGAGCTGAATGATGAAAACACGTGGACACAAGGAAGGGAACAACACACAGTGGGGCCTGTCCGAGGGTCGCGGGGGAGGAAGGAGAGCATCAGGAAGAATAGCTAATGGATGCTGGGTTAATATCTAGGTGATGGGATGACCTGCGCAGCAAACCACCATGACACACATTTATCTGTATAACAAAACTGCACATCCTGCACATGTACCCCAGAACTTAAAATTAAAAAAAAAATGCATTGAATACACCTAACCTACAAAACACAGCTTAGCCTAGCCCGCCTTAAACACACTCAGAGCGCTCACATTAGCTTACAGTTAGGCACAATCACTTAACACAAAATCGATTACATTTTATCATGAAGTGTTGAGTATCTCAAATAATTTATTGAATACTATACCAAAAGTGAAAAACACAATTGTTGTACGGGTACTTGAAGTACAGTTTCTCGTGAATGTGAATCCCTTTCACACCATTGTAAAGTTGAAAACAGCATCGTAGGTGGAATCATAGTAAATTGGGGACTGTGTGCATGTGTCTATTTGAGGTGCTGAAATGAATTTCTTCTCTCATAGATCATATTTGGAGTCAGGAAGAACCTCAGAACATGGGTCCATGGTCGTTTGTTTCTCCAAGGTTTGAAAAGCAGCTGGCCTGCAAGGTAATCACATGTTTTCTCTGGTAGTGTCTTGTGTGCATGTTGTTTTTCTTTCTTTCTTTTTTTTTTTTTGAGACGGAGTCTCGCTCTGTCTCGCAGGCTGGAGTGCAGTGGCGTGATCTTTGCTCACTGCAAACTCTACCTCCCAGGTTCATGCCATTCTCCCGCCTCAGCCCCCTCAGTAGCTGGGATTACAGGCACCTGCCATCATGCCCGGCTGATTTTTTTTTTTTTTTTTTCATTTTTAGTAGAGACGGGGTTTCACCCTGTTAGCCAGGATGGTCTCAATCTCCTGACCTGATCCGCCCACCTCGGCCTCTCAAAGTGCTGGAATTACAGGTGCAAGCCACCGCTCCTGGCCTACATGTTTCTTTTCTTCTCTTTTTTGTTTTGCTGCATAACATTTTGGTCATCAAAATATTAAAATCACGTTTAAAAAAGTGGTTATACTCGGCCTGGCGTGGTGGCCCATGCCTGTAATCCTAGCACTTTGGGAAGCCGAGGCGGGCGGATCATGAGGTCAGGAGATTGAGACCATCCTGACCAACATGGTGAAACCCCATCTCTAGTGAAAATACAAACATTAGCTGGGTGTGGTGGCCTGTAGTCCCAGGTTCTCAGGAGGCTGAGGCAGGGGAATCACTGGAACTTGGGAGGTCGAGGTTGCAGAGAGCCCAGATTCCAGCCTGGTAACAGAGGGAGACTCCGTCTCAAAAAAAAAAAAAAGGGTGGTTATACTCAAAACAGTAAAAGCCCTTACCTTTCGGCTCCCTGTCCCACTACCCTCCTTAGCATGTCTTATCCAAGCCTTGGACAAGCCAGAGGACTAGCAGGCTTGTTTTATAGTGTGGGACTGGATATGCTCAATAACACTCATTCTAGGCCCATTGTGTTACTTCGTTCTCCCATTGCTGTAAATAAATACCTGAGGCTGGGCATGGTGGCTCACGCCTGTAATCCCAGCACTTTGTGAGGCCGAGGTGGGCTGATCACCTGAGATCAGGAGTTCGAGACCAGCCTAGCCAACATGGTAAAATCCCATCTCTACTAAAAATACAAAAATGAGCTGGGCGTGGTGATGCATGCCTGTAGTCCCAGCCACTCAGGAGGCTGAGGCAGGAGAATCTCTTGACCCAGGAGGCAGAGGTTGCAGTGAGCCGAGATCATGCCACTGCACTCCAGCCTGAGCAACGAAGAGCAAAACTTCGTCTCAAAACAAACAAACAAACAAACAAAAAAGAATAGCACAAATTCAAGAACTTGTCTTACCTTATCTTGCCTAGCATTCCATTAGTTGTTAGTGGTGACATATTTGCCACCAATCTATTTTTTTTTTTTTTTGAGACAAAGTCTGGCTCTCTTGCTTAGGCTGGAGTGCAGTGGTGCAATCTCAGCTCACTGCAACCTCTGCTTCTGGAGTTCAAGTGATTCTCGTGCCTCAACCTCCCGAGTAGCTGGGATTACAGGCGCAGGCCACCACGCCTGGCAAATTTTTGTATTTTTAGTAGAGACGAGGTTTTTTTCATGTTGGCCAGCTGGTCTCAAACTCCTGGCCTCAAGTGATACACCCACCTCGGCCTCCCAAAGCACTGGGATTACAGGCATTGAGGCACGGAGCCCTGTCCCTCTAATCTCTTCTGTGTAACTCATTATTTGAAAGAGGTGATTTATGGTTAAACAAACTAAGAGAAATACATGCACCATCTTGTTGGAACTAAGCAGAGCTCTGAGCTCGTCAAAATGGCATTTTATTTATTCTCTGCTGCACTTACAGCTCCATCTGGTGGGCCGGCCCCCTTTGCCAGTACCCGCTGTAGGAATTGGCACAGTTCACTTGCACCAGCATGAAGATATCCTCTCCAAGACCTTCGCTTAATGATGACTTTTGAAGAAACACTGTTTCTCTTTAAGAAAATGGCCATTAAGGCCAGGCATGGTGGCTCACGCCTGTAATCCCAGCACTTTGGGAGGCCAAGGCCGGTGGATCACCTGAGGTCAGGAGTTCAAGACCAGCTTGACCAACACGGTGAAACCCCGCCTGTACTAAAAATACAAAAAATAGCTGGGTGTGATGGTGGGCACCTGTGATCCCAGCTTCTCGGGAGGCTGAGGCAGGAGAATCACTTGAACAAAAATTAGTTGGGGGTGGTGGCGCGTGCCTGTAGTCTCAGCTATTCCCTATTCCGGAGGCTGAGGCAGGGGAACTGCTTGAACCTGGGAGGCAGAGGTTGCAATGAGCTGAGATGGTGCCACTGTACTCTAGCCTGGGCGACACAGCAAGACTCCATCTCAGAAAATCAAAGGAAAGTATGATAGTGTTATGGATTTTAGCTCTGAATGAGCTGGAAAACTAGGTAATTATCTGGATGATTTCAGACTTGACCCTAATTGACCACATGTGACCAGGAAACACTTCTGAGTTTACAGCTCCATGGAGATGACCTCAACACTGCCTCTTGATTTGTTTGATGCATGTCACTTCCATTAATTTTCCCCCTTTTTTTAAAGTCCTGTGGCAGTACTAATATTTTCATTTTATATAAATCTGTGGTGCTGCTTTCCAGCCACTGTATGAAGTGTCTCCCTAACACTAGCAAATCTAGGTCCTACTAAATACAAATCCCTGGGTGGATGATCTTCTAGTACTGTATTTTTAAATTAAGGAGTTTTAGTTATGATGAAATTGATTTGTAGTCTGTTTTGCCGTAAACTTGTTTTTCTTTGAATTGTTCTTACAGTGATAATTTAACTATTTTTAACTGTCTTGGGTTTCTGATACAGGGATTTCAGCCCCTGGTTCATCAGTCTTGCCCCTATAAGTCCCTGGTACAGTATGTTTATTTGTGGTGCTTAAAGAACATTTCCTGGCCGGGCGCTGCAGCTCACGCCTGTAAACTCAGCACTTTGGGAGGCTGAGGTGGGTGGATCACCCGAAGTTGGGAGTTCGAGACCAGACAAAACATAGCGAAACCCTGTCTCTACTAAACATACAAAAATTAGCTGGGCATGGTGGTGCGTGCCTGTGATCCCAGCTACTCGGGAGGCTGAAGCAGGAGAATCGCTTGAACCCGGGAGGTGGAGGTTGCAGTGAGCTGAGATCCTGCCACTGCCCTTCAGCCTGGGTGACAGAGCAAGACTCGTTTCAAAAAATAAATAAATAAGAGAGAGAGAGAGAGACAAAAAAGAAAAGAAAAGAACACCTCTTTATTTGAGGGAACTTCCCAACACCAGGTGCTTGGGGATTTCTTACAGATCACCAACCAACTCCCTCACTGTGAAATTAAACCAAGTACTGGAAGCATAACTAAATAGCAAACCATGTCGCTTCCCCTGACTCAGTGCTGGGGGCCTCTACCGTCTACCGTTCTTTGTCATGACGCTTTTTCTCTGAAGTGGTGTGGGAAGTACCAGGGGACTGGCAGAAACCCAGGCCTTCTCCACTTTTACCAGCAACTGATCATGTCTTTCAGAATCCAGTACGTATAGGCTGTTCTCGCCACAGTGGTAGATTTATGATTCACATCCGAAAGTGTGCCTTAGTTATTGATTTAACATTTCTCTAGTATTCATATCCCTTTTCTTCCCATATACCTCAGTGCATCCTTCCTGTGTCAAGTCTTATAAATCAGGTAATTTAGCACCACTCATGTAAATCAGTAAAGTCACAAAGGTCTATTTAATGAAAACGATTACCAATGTTGTATTTTTTTAACAAGAAAAAAAATAAAAGCACATTGTCATTTTTTTCCCTCAGGGCTCCTGGATTTCTTGAATGAAAAGATTTCAAAAGTCTAAGCACAAAAATGAGATGGAAGATTAGATCTCTGTAAAAGGTTAGTTTAGGCTGGGCGTGGTGGCTCACACCTGTAATCACAGCACTGTGGGAGGCCAAGACGGGTGCATCACCTGAGGTCAGGTGTTCGAGACCAGCCTGGTCAACATGGCTAAACCCCATCTCTTACTAAAAATATAAAAATGAGCAGGGCATGGTGGCGCATGCCTATAATCCCAGCTACTCCGGAGGCTGAGGCAGGAAAATCGCTTGATCCCGGGAGGTGGAAGTTGCAGTGAGCCGAGATCGTACCACTGCACTCCAGCCTGGGTGACAGAGAGGGACTCTGTCTCAAAAAAAAAAAAAAAAAGAAAAAGAAAAAGAAAAAGAAATTTGGAGAGCTCTAAACTAACCTTTTTTTTTTTGAGACGGAGTCTCGCTTTGTCGCCCAGGCTGGAGTGGTGCGATCTCGGCTCGCTGCAACCTCTGCCTCCTGGGTTCAAAAGATTTTCCTGCCTCAGCCTCCTGAGTAGTTGGGACTACAGGCACGTGCCACAGCTAGTTTTTTGTATTTTTAGTAGAGAAGGGGTTTCACCGTGTTAGCCAGGATGGCCTCCTTCTCCTGACATCATATCCGCCCACCTCGGCCTCTCAAAGTGCTGGGATTACAAGCATGAGCCACGGTGACCGGTGGATCTCTCCAAATTTCTAATTTTACACCTCACAGCCTGTTCATGGTTTCTTTTTATGTCTTCTCTAACTCGAGCCATGAAATGTGTCTTCTGTTGTCTTGACCTCTCTACTCTCAATTGCTACTGCAACATGGATCAGCATTTTACAGTCCCTTGCAGGAAGGGACCATTTAAGGAATTCCAAATCAAATACTCATTACTTCCTTTCCTTTAAAAATTCAGTAGGCCAGGCACAGTGGCCCATGCTTGTAATTCCAGCACTTTGGGAGGCCAAGGTGGGCAGATCACGTAAGGTCAGGAGTTCAAGACCAGCCTGGCCAACCTGGTTTGAAAGCCTGTTTCTACTAAAAATGCAAAGATCAGCCGAGCGTTGTCGTGCATGCTTGTAGTCCCAGCTACCTGAGAGGCTGAGGCAGGAAAATCACTTGAACTACTCGAGCATGGGCAACAGAGCAAGACTCCATCTCAAAAAAAAAAAAGTGTAAAAGGGATACTATTTTTATTCTCAACCAAGGAATTTTTAAAAAATAATAAAATTTCAAAGGTAATACAGTCAGACTAAAGATGTCTAAGCTTCAGAGTATTTTTCCCAAATAGCATGTGTGTGCAAGACATGGAAAAGCTAAGCAAAATAGTTCTTACTATTCTTACTAAAAAATATTTTTTTTTTACTAAGAATAATTTGCCATTTCAGACAAAACTAAAATTTTCCCATGGTTGCTACTGTTTCTACTTCTTGAATACCCAATTTACGGTTTGTTCCTCATTGAACATGAAAATGGCATAGATATAAATAACATATATAAATAAGACACAAGTATAAAATTACTAAGTTTTTCTTTTTTTCTTTTGAGACCAAATCTCGCTCTGTGGCCCAGGTTGGAGGACAGTGGCACAATCCCGGCTCACTGCAACCTCCGCCTTTCTAGATCAGGTAATTCTCTTGCATCAGGCTGCCTCGGCCTCCCAAAGTGCTGGGATTACAGGTATGAGCCACCATGCCTGGCCCTTTGACAAAATTGAAGAAATAAAAGGGTTACCCCCCCTCCAAAAAAAAAGATTACACTGGAAGTAAGTCACAGATTGAGGATCAAGACTTTTGAGGTTCCAAAAGCTTCACCTACATTTTTCTCATATGTATTTGGATATTAAAGAAAATAAGTTACATATATACAATGGAATATTATTCAGCCATTTAAAAAAAATAAAATCTTGTCATTTGTAGCAACATGGATGGAACTGGAGGTCATTATGTTATGTGAAATAAGTCAAGCACAGAAAGACAAAACTTGGATATTCTCACTCACGTGGGAACTTAAAAAGTAGATTTCAGCCAGGTGCAGTGGCTCACTGCAGTGGCTGTAATCCCAGCCCTTTGGGAGGCCGAGGCAGGTGGATCACCTGAGGTCAGGAGTTCAAGACCAGCCTGGCCAAGATAGTGAAACCCTGTCTGTACTAAAAATACAAAAAATTAGCCGGGCGTGGTGGTGGGTGCCTGTAAATCCCAGCTACTGGGGAGGCTGAGGCAGGAGAATCACTTGAACCCAGGAGGCAGAGGTTGCAGTGAGCCGAGATCTTGCCATTGCACTCCAGTCTGGGTGACAAGAGCAAGACTCCATCTCAAAAAACAAAACAAAACAAAACAAAAAAGGATCTCACGAAGATAGAGAGTAGATCGGTTGTTAGCAGAGGTTGAGAGGGGAAGGGGTAGGGGGATGAAGAGAAGTAGATTAACGAGTACAAATATATGGTTTGATAGAAGAAATAAGACCTACTGTTAGATGGATCGGTAGGTGACCACAGTTTACAATATCTATTATACATTTCAAAATAGCTAGAGGAGAATTCAAATGATTCTATTTTAAAGAAAAGAGAAATATTTAAGGTGATGGATATCCCAAATTCACTGTTTTGATATTTATAAATTATATGAATGTATTAAATTATCACATGCACCTTGAAAGTATGTACATCTAGTATTCATCAATTAAAAAACCCCAAAAGCTCTTACTCTGTAGAAAGAGTAATTCATTGTCATTGTATTTAAATCTGATAAAGTGCAATCTAAAGCAGACGCCTTTTCTCACTGCCAACTGCAATTTTATTTATTTATTTAGAGACAGGGTCTCCCTCTGTCCCCCAGGCTGGAGTGCAGTGGCATGATTACGGTTCACTGCAGCCTCGAATTCCTGGGCTCAAGTGTTCATCCCACCTCAGACCCCCAAGTAGCTAGGACTAATGTGCCTGCCACTATGCCCTGCTAATTAAACAATTTTTTTTTTTTTTTCTTACAGAGACTAGGTCTCACTATATTGCCCAGGCTGGTCACAAACTCCTGGCCTCAAATGATTTTCCTGCCTTGACCTCCCAAAGTGCTGGAATTAACAGGCATGAGCCACCACACCCAGTCTAATTTTTAAAAATTGTCTAAGTCAGGCCAGTGGCACATGCCTGTAGTTCCAGTAACTCCAGAGGCTGAGGTGAAAAGATCCTTTGAACCAAGGACTTCGAGGCTGCAGTGAGCTATGATCTCAACACTGCACTCCAGCTTAGGCGACAGAGTGAGACCCCTACTGTGAAAAATAATAGTAGATAAAAAATTAAACAGGGTGCACAGTGGCTCACACCTGTAATCCCAGCTCTTTGAGAGGCTGAGGAAGGCAGAGCGTTTGAACCGGGGAGGCATAGGTTGCAATGAGCCGGTACAGCGCCATTTCACCCCAGCCTGGGTGACAGAGGGAGACCCTGTCTCAAGAAAAAAAAAAAAAATTAAATTGATATAACTTTAGTGTCATATCCCTGTTTTCTTTGACTCATATGGGGATCCAGCTAGAATTGAACTGAACGCCAGAAATGACCTTTTAAGAGTAAAGTGGTATTTCATCGAGAAATACTTTATTGACATCTTCCCTATATTGCATTTTTATGGACCTTAGAAATACACAGAAGTAAAAGACAAAATGGGTTGCCCATTGTCCTCAGTGGGCTAACAATGTGTTTGAGAAGACAACGCATTGCATACATAGAACATTTTCTTGTCGGATGCGCTAAAACAGTGAAAGATCAAGGTAGAGTGAGAGTCTGGATGGATGTAGATTAGGTGGCGCATTGCAGTTAAGGAAAAGCCCTGGGTGGCATGTAGTGGTAGAAAAAAATGGTGGAAGGGGACAAGAGCAGTGGCTCATGCCTGAAATCCCAGCACTTTGGGAGGCTAAGGCAGGCAGATCACTTGAGGTTAGCAGTTCAAGACCAGCCTGGCCAACATGGTGAAACCCCGTCTCTACTAAAAATACAAACTTAGCCGGGCAAGGTGGCCTGTGCCTGTAATCTCAGCTGCTCGGGAGGCTGAGGCAGGAGAATCACTTGAACCTCGGAGACAGAGGCTGCAGTGAGTTGAGACTGGCCACTGCACTCCAGCCCGGTGACAGAGCGAGACTCTGTCTCAAAGAGAAAAAAAAGAATGGTGGAAGGGTAATTCACAAAGTTTATCCAGAGTGTCAAAGCTCATTCCCAGGCTCTTACCTGAACCATGGAACTATCCCAGAAATAGCAGTAAAAAGAGGCACAGGATATTCTTCACCTTCTGTGATATTTTCAATTTAGTGCATCTTTCCCTGCCGCCTCCCTCTGTCCCCCACCCACTGCTGGAGTACCGTGGTGCGATTTCAGCTCACTACAACCTCTGCCTCCAGGGCTCAAGCCATCCTCCTGAGGCCTCCTGACAAGCTGGGACAACAGGCGTAAACCACCATGCCCGGCTGATTTTTGTTTTTTTACCTTTCACAGAGACGTGGTCTCACTGTGTTGCCCAGGCTGGAATTTAGTGCATCTTTATTGAAAGGATATTGCATTCATGAAATTAGCTCGTAATTTCGTGTCAAAACTGTACTTTAGTCAATCATTTTGCAGGCTATTGTACATAGTAGAAAAAGTAAGCACGCCCACTCCATCTAGAAGTTTACTGCATAGCAGGGGAGATTAGGCAAGTATAAAAATGACTAATACAAAGTAGAGTGAGGTAAGGATGAATTAACAGGATGGGAGATTATTACTGTGGCAGATTGGATTTTCCAGAAATTCCCACAGCAGTATTTTGAATCCCACATGTTCTTCCAGAATCTTGCCACAATCTCCCCTAGAGGAGGTGTCCCTAGGACTTGTGGCTGCCCCTACAAACACAATGCAGTAAAAGATGCTGGTTCAGTTCTGAGGACATCCCTTGGACGCTAGCTACCACATTGTGAGGAAGCCCGGGCCACTTGGAGAAGGCATCTGGAGGTGCTGGAGCTGACACCAGCACCCAATGCTAGACTGGGGAGTGAGGGAGCCACCTGATCATTCCAGTCCCCAGCCCTGGGGCTGTCCCAGCTGACCTCAAATACAGCAGAGACCCATGCAAGCTGGACCTAAATTGCATACCCCCTTGAAATATATAATTTATTTCATGGACATAGATCTGAACATTAGAACAGATTCTTGAGGCCAGTTGTGGTGGTCCATGCCTGTAATCCCAGCACTTTGGGAGGCTGAGACAGCCAGATTGCTTGAGCTCAGGAGTTCGAGACCAGCATGGGCAACATAGCAAGACTCCATCTCTACAAAAAATACAAAGATCAGCTGAGTTTGATGGCGCAGACCTGCTGGTCCCAGCTACTCTGGAGGCTGAGGTGGGAAGGTCGCTTGAGACTGGGAGTTCGATGCAGCAGTGAGCTATGATTGTGTCACTGCACTCCATTCCAACCTGAGCCACAGAGCAAGACCAGCTCTTAAAAAAAAAAAAAAAGAAAAAGAAAAAAAGAGAACAGTGGCTTCAGGAAAATTGTTCCACGGTAGGAGGTATACGATCCTGATCTCTGTGTTTTGGAGAAGATGGAGGGGCCTAGCTTACGTCGAGACAGAGGAGTTCGTAACTGTTAACTACACACAACGACGTGTCAAAAAGTTTTACAAACTTCCAAGAGATAACGATAAGAAGGAAGCGCCCCGATGCGGTGGCTCATGCCTGTAATCCCAGCACTTTGGGGAGGCCGATAGGGGCGGATCACGAGGTCAGGAGATCGAGACCATCCTGGCTAACACGGTGAAACTTCGTCTCTACTAAGAATACAAACAAATTATCCGGGCGTGGTGGCAGGGCTGTAGTCCCAGCTACTCGGGAGGCTGAGGCAGGAGAATGGTGTGAACCCGGGAGGCGGAGCTTGCAGTGAGCCGAGATCGCACCACTGCACTCCAGCCTGGGCGACAGAGCGAGACTACCGTCTCAAAAAAAAAAAAAAAAAAAAAAAGGAGGCAAAATAAGATTGGTTCGGTCCTGTCAGCGATCAGCGGCTCAGCCCAAGGTCTCGGGGCCAGAACCGTGTTCCCCGCGCTACTCGGGCAGCGCCGGGATCGCGGCCTCCCCGAAGGGTGCCCAGGAGGCCTGAGTCGGCCGTGGCGCGCGAGGAAACGGCGGCTTCTCCACACTGAGCAGGGAAAGCCTATAGGCAACGAAGAACCCGGTAGCCTCAGCTTCTGCGCAGCTCCCACGCCACGCGACTGCCCGCCCCAGCCCTGCCCCCAGGCCAGCCAGCCGTGCCTCTCGGGGCGCCCGTGGTCACCATGGCAACGCAGCGGACGTCGTCCAACGGCCGGCCTGGGGGCGGGGCTGGGCCGGGCGGGCGCGCGGGTCACGTGGCGGGGGCGGAGCCTGCGCGGGGTTGGGCGGAGCCTGCGCGGGGCTGGCAGGATCGCGTTGGGAGCCGGTACTGAGGCCCGAGCCGCGGGAGCCGAGCGAAGGCAGCGCCGAGGCCGCAGTTCCCCCTTGGGCCTCCCCAGCAGCAGCCATGGGCAGTGAGTAGCGGCGGCTGGAGCGGGGCTCTGGCCGGGAACGCAGGCCCCGCCTGGGCTGCGGGCGGTGAGGCCGGCGCTCGCTCGGAGTCGTGCGGACCGGGGATGCGCGGGCCGCTCCGGGCCGCTGCGGAAGGGCACGGGCCGGGGGCCTCTGCCTAGGCTCTCCTAGACGTGCGAGGCCTTGCCCGGCGGGTACCGGGACCCGGAGGCCCGGGGTTTGCGTTCGATAGAGGTCGAGGATGGCGCTGGGAGGCCATTGGTTTTGGGGGCGGGGAGTTAGGGCACCGGGTGAACCTGGACCACTTTTTAATTTTTCAGGAGTTAAAGAAATCCCGTATTTTTATTCCCTCGTCATACTTCCTTGGCATGTTACGTTGGATAAAGCTCCCCTAACTCGTTTAATTTTTAAAAAAGTGATGCATGGCGTGTGTTTTAGGGAGGAAAGGAGTGCGTTGGTAACAGCGTTTTCCTTAAACTGTTCATTCTGTAGCGCTTACTGAAAACTGTAAGGTTGTATAAGCCTTAGGGACGAGGCCTTATGTTATAGGAATGTTTTTCAGGGCCCTCCCCCTAACACTCAACCCCACATATGTGCGCGCAACTACTTGCATAGCCCCGAAGATGTTCGTTGGATGAATGGGCCGTGCATATCCAAGCAGGGCACCCATTGGCCAACTAGTGGACATTTGGGGGAAATTAGAAAGGAGTAGGAGAGACCCTTGGTAAAATTCTGCATCACAAGGATAGACGGGGCAGCCAAAAGCTTTGCTTGAACATGAATACCCCTTTCAGATGATCATGAAGTGTCAAGAAATCTGAGTGGCTTGGATTGAGGTGAGGAGGAAAACGGATGGAGAGGTTCTAGGAAGTCTCCTGATGTGATTGATACTTGTTTTGCGTTAGCGATGAATGCTTTCATAATTCGGATTTACTTTCCAGAAAGTCCAAAATATTAGGTTGCTGCAAAAGTAATTGCGGTTTTCAATTACTTTTCAGAAACCGCAGTTACTTTAGCACCAACCTAATAGTACTTGGGTAATAAACATCTGCCCATGACAATTAGTGAATCCTTCTGTCAAACTTCAGTGACTGGTGGGGCGCAGAGGCTCACGCCTGTAATCCCAGCACTTTGGGAGGCCAAAGAGGGCGGCTCACCGGAGGTCAGAAGTTCGAGACCAGCCTGGCCAACATGATGAAACCCCGTCTCTACTAAATATAAAAATTAGCCTGGTGTGGTGGTGGGCGCCTGTAATCTCAGCTCCTCAGGAAGCTGAGGCACGAGAATCCCTTGAACCCAGGAGGCAGAGGTTGCAGTGAGCTGAGATCCTGCCACTGCACTTCAAGCCTGGGCGATAGAGCGAAACTCCATCTTGAAACAAATAAACATACATCAGTGACTGCCCATCATTTGTAGAGGCTTTTAAAAAATATATAATAGGCCGGGCGCGGTGGCTCAAGCCTGTAATCCCAGCACTTTGGGAGGCTGAGATGGGCGGATCACGAGGTCAGGAGATCGAGACCATCCTGGCTAACACAGTGAAACCCTGTCTCTACTAAAAAATACAAAAAACTAGCCGGGCGAGGTGGTGGGCGCCTGTAGTCCCAGCTACTCGGGAGGCTGAGGCAGGAGAATGGCGTAAAACAGGGAGGCGGAGCTTGCAGTGAGCTGAGATCCGGACACTGCACTCCAGCCTGGGCGACAGAGCGAGACTCCGTCTCAAAAAAAAAAAAAAAAAAAAAAAAAAAAAAAATATATATATATATATATATATATATATATAAAATAAAATCAACTTTAGGCAACTGCAGAAATGTAATCACTCATGTCAGCTTTAAGAGTTTTGGGATGTTAGTATACAGAAGCCAGTGTCTGTAGGGGAAGAAGAGCCGCAGAGCCTAATACCTACCTGCAGCTTGTCTTTCTCCACATTGCAGACCCTTTGGCAAAGGACAGAAGCTTGAGAGATTGTCATATTCACCCTTCAGTTCTCTGGCAGGACTTGACTTAAGCCACGCCAGAAGACAGTGTCTATCCTTAAAGAACCTTGATTTATCTTACCTTTATATACTACAAGACTAGTCTGGGAAAACAGTACTTTCTGATGAAATGTAATTGTAAATTCTCTGGGTTATTTTACATAAGCAGGTATTTTGATATTACCTGGGAGAGTAACCAGGCAATGAAATGTGGTCTGATGAAATGAAGCAGAGATTACATACTTTTTTTTTCTTTTTTTTTGAGACGGAGTCTCGCTCTGTCATCCAGGCTGGAGTGCAGTGGCTGGAGCTCGGCTTACTGCAAGCTCCGCCTCCTGGGTTCACGCCATTCTCCTGCCTCAGTCTCCTGAGTAGCTGGGACTACAGGCACCCGCCACCACACCCCATTAATTTGTTTTTTGTATTTTTAGTAGAGACGGGGTTTCACGTGTTAGCCAGGATGGTCTCGATCTCCTGACCTTGTGATCTGCCCACCTTGGCCTCCCAAAGTGCTAGGATTACAGGTGTGAGCCACCGTGCCTGGCCTACATACTTTAAAAAGTTAACTATAGGGGCCGGGTGCCGTGGCTCACGCCTGTAATCCCAGCACTTTGGGAGGCCGAGATGGGTGGATCACGAGGTCAGGGGTTCGAGACCAGCCTGACCAAAGTGGTGAAACCCTGTCTCTACTAAAATACAAAAATTAGCCAGGCATGGTGCTGCGCACCTATATTCCCAGCTACTCAGGAGGCTGAGGTAGGAGAACTGCTTGAACGCAGGGGGGCAGAGCTTGCAGTGAGCCGAGATGGCACCACTGCACTCCAGCCTGGGCGACAGAGGGAGAATCCGTCTCAAAAACGAAACAAAGCAAAACAAAAACAGCTAACTATAGGGGCCAGGTGCCATGGTTCATGCCTGTAATCCCCGCACTTTGGGAGGCTGAGATGGGAGGATCACTTGATGTTAGGAGTTTGAGACAAGCCTGGCCACCATGGTGAAATCCCATCTCTAGTAAAAATACAAAAATTAGCCAGGTGTGGTGACACGCGCCTGTAATCCCAGCTACTTGGGAGGCTGAGGCAGGAGAATCACTTGAACCTGGGAGGCGGAGATTGCACTGAGCCGAGATCGTGCCCCTGAACTTCAGCCTGGGCAACACAGAGAGACACTGTCTCAAAAAAAAAAAAGTTGACTATAGGAGGTGATTGCATGATTTTTTTGTCACCTACGCATTTCGGCATCTTTCAGTTGTTTAAGCCAGTTCTCTGCAGAAGAGCCCATTTCCTGTTGTACTTCCTGAGTGCAGAAGGCACCCTCCTGTCTTCCTCCTCTGATACCTGCTTTCTTCTATCATGCATTGTCTCATGGGTACCACGGTAGGGTACATTTGCTCCCTTTTTGACGTCATGATGCCCTTTGAACAGCCCCTTTTCTCTGTATATAAAATGATTGGATACAAGTGTGAGGAAGTAAAGTTCTGGAAAAAGATTGCTTGGATTGCTTTGCTTCTACTGACTAGCCATCAAACCATTTGGACTTTTTTGTCCCTTGAATGATATCTCTTCCTTTGCGTATCATTTGAAGTGGAGAACAGTATGATTATTTAATTTGAGGCTGTAAGGATGGGGTGAATTGCTGGTGAAAGAGAATATTTGTGTTTGATTCTCTAGAAAGATTTTTTTTAACTTTATAATAATAGGGACATTTATTCTTTTTCTTTTTACAGTCAAATTTTTAGAAGTTATCAAACCGTTCTGTGCAGTTCTACCAGAAATTCAGAAACCGGAAAGGAAAGTAAGTATAAGATTTTAGTAATATAGAGGGTAGCTCAAGGACTTACCCTACTAAACCAGGAAAATTCATTTCCTTTCCTCAGTCCTTCTCTGTCGGTAATTGGAAAACTATTGGTGCTCATCCTCCTTGCAAGAGGCACCAAGTGAATAAAACTAATATAAATCTGTTTAAATCTAGATAGATTATCTCATGCTTTCAAAAATGACTGTTCTTTAAGTTGTGACGTTTCCAAACTAAGTGTTTGTTCGGCCTGTGTGTTAGTTAAGACAGAGTATTCTCCTGTCTGTAGTGATCCTTCATAAATCCTGTAGTATAGGGTGTGTATTGTGTTTGCTAATGATGTGACCTGCTGGACTAGAAATAACCCGGTCTGCTGGATAGGTTTTGATGAGTACAGCTGTTTCATGTAAATGAATTGCATTTGTGCAAATACATACCTCCCATTTCTTGATTCATTCATTGGAAAGAAAAATGACAGGAATGCATTCAGAAGATACTGTGACTGGGTGAAATCATTCTTCTATCATTGCGAACTTTCAGGAGTTAAGGTATTTAAATTCTGGAAATATTGTTATTTCTAGATTGGCCAATTTCTAGAAATTCTTCATCAAACTACAAATTTCTCATCAAACTAATAGGAATAGGGATATAGAGATAGGTAAAAAATTTTAAACTTACTATTTGATTTAGAAGTATTTATTTATTTATTTATTTATTTGGGATGGAGTCTCACTCTGTCGCCCAGGCTGGAGTGCAGTGGTGCGATCTTGGCTCACTGCAAGCTCTGCCTCCCGGGTTCACGCCATTCTCCTGCCTCAGACTCCCGAGTAGCTGGGACTACAGGCACCCGCCACCATGCCCGGCTAATTTTTTTATATTTTTAGTAGAGACGGGGTTTCGCCGTGTTAGCCAGGATGGTCTCGATCTTCTGACCTCATGATCCACTTGTCTCGGCCTCCCAAAGTGCTGGGATTACAGGCATGAGCCACTGCACCCGGCTAGAAGTATTTTTTTATTGCTTTGAGTTTGTAAAAATAGTTGTTCCATTTACATTTAAGGCATCCTGAGAAACCCTGGCTTTGCAGTCTATAAAATATTCATATGGCACTGTCACCAGCAGGCCTACCTTCGCACAGTGCAGTGTTCACCGAGTCACGTGCACATTGGATCTCTGTTTTGCTTTGGCTCCTTTTCAGTTTCATTTAACATCATACAATGTAGATGAGAACTGCCTGTATTTAAATTACCTTTTTTATGAAAAGTAAAGAAACTTGTATTCAGGAAGTTCAGCTGTTTGTTGTAGCTGCTACTAAGGTGAAAGGAACATTAAAAAACAATCTAGGCCGGCACCATGGCTCACACCTGTAATCCCAGCACTTTGGGAGGCCGAGGCCGAGCCACCATCCATCTTTTCCTGCCACCTTTGTACCCTTTGGAGTCTCCACTGTCTATCATTCCATACTCTGTGTCCCTGTGTACACATTGTTTAGCTCCTACTTTTTTTTTGAGACTCTGTCTGCACTCCAGCCTGGGCGACAGAGCGAGACTCTGTCTCAAAAAAAAAAAACAAAAACAAGCATCTGCGCGTGCGTGCGTGTGTGTGTGTGTGTGTATGAGAGAGAAAAAATGTTTATACAAGCCTGTAATCCCAGCACTTTGGGAGGCCGAGACGGGCGGATCACGAGGTCAAGAGATCGAGACCATCCTGGCTAACACGGTGAAATCCTGTCTCTACTAAAAAGAATACAAAAAACTAGCCGGGCGAGGTGGCGGGTGCCTGTAGTCCCAGCTACTCGGGAGGCTGAGGCAGGAGAATGGCGTAAACCTGGGAGGCGGAGCTTGCAGTGAGCTGAGATCCGGCCACTGCGCTCCAGCCTGGGCCACGACAGAGCGAGACTCCGTCTCAAAAAAAAAAAAAAAAATTTATAAAACTTTGTATCTAATAAACAAAAATGCTTCCTTTATTAACACATACAGACATTCCCAACTTTTGTGAATTAGGCCCCAAAGAAGATCCTCAAAAATCCACCCCCCTGCCAAAAAAATTTATTGTTTCTTGATTTTGATTGATGATTCTTTTTATTTTGTTGCACAGATCCAGTTTAGAGAGAAGGTTCTATGGACTGCTATAACGCTCTTCATTTTCTTAGTATGTTGTCAGGTATGTAATTATACTGTTAAATAAGTGTCTCTACCATTGTTCTAAGGTCTTGATTGGTTAGAATTTGAGAATTTTTTTTTTCTTAAAATAAAAAATACATTGAGCTCAATATATTGAGCATTATTATCCTTTTTATTTTGTATTATTAATTTTTATTTGAGATGGAGTCTCATTCTGTTGCCCAAACTAGATGCAGAGGCATGATCTCGACTCACTGCAACCTCTGCCTCCTGGGTTCAAGTGATTCTTCTTCCTTGGCCTCCCAAGTCTCGAACTCCTGACCTCAAGCTATCCACCTTCCTCAGCCTCCCAAAGTGCTGGCATTATAGGCGTGAGCCACCACGCCCAGCCAAGTTTTTGTATTTTTAGTAGAGATGGGGTTTTCCTGTGTTGGTCAGGCTTATCTCGAACTCCTGACCTCAGGTGATCTACCTGCCTCAGCCTCCAAAATTGCTGGGATTATAGGCGTGAGCCACTGCACCCTTTTTTATCTGGCAATTTTTTGTCTTTAAATGAGACGGGTCGGGTCGGCCGGGCGAGGTGGCTCAAGCCTGTAATCCCAGCACTTTGGGAGGCCGAGACGGGCGGATCACGAGGTCAGGAGATCGAGACCATCCTGGCTAATACAGTGAAACCCCGTCTCTACTAAAAATACAAAAACTTAGCCGGGCGAGGTGGCAGGCGCCTGTAGTCCCAGCTACTCGGGAGGCTGAGGCAGGAGAATGGCGTGAACCCGGGAGGCGGAGCTTGCAGTGAGCTGAGATCCGGCCACTGCACTCCAGCCTGGGTGACAGAGCGAGACTCCGTCTCAAAAAAAAAAAAAAAAATAAATAAATAAAAATAAATGAGACGGGGTCTCTATGTTGCCCAGGCTGGTCTCCAGCTCCTAGGCTCAGGTGATCCTCCTGCCTCAGCCTCCCTAGTACGTAGGCCAGCAGGTGTGCCCCACCATGCCTGGCTAATTTTTAAATTCTTTTGCAGGGAAAGGGTCACACTAAAACCAAATTTTTAGAATCTTGGTTGTACTATGTTTAAAAATTACTAAAACTCGATGATAGTGTTTTTTTTGTTTTTGTTTTTTGGTTTCTTTTTTGAGACAAGGTCTCACTCTGTCACTCAGGCTGGAGTGATCACTTCAGCCTCACCTTCCCCAATCCCAGGTGATCTTCCCATCTCAGCCTTCTGACTAGCTGGGACTACCGGCACGAGCCACCATACCAAGTTACTTTTTTTGGTATTTTTTGTAGAGATGGGGTTTTGCCATGTTGCCCAGGCTGGTCTCAAATTCCTGGGCTCAAGCCATCCATCTACCTCTGTCTCCCACAGGGCTGGGATTACACGCCTGAGCCACCACACCCAGCCCAATGATACTTTCAAATAAAATTTTGCAGACATACTAAGTTCACAGTGTGAGTATGAAATGTGATCTGCCTATGTTTTAGGGTTGTTGTAAAGATTAAATAAGATAACTTAGGTCAAGGTGGATGGGCATGGTGGCTCATGCTTATAATCCCAGCACTTTGGCAGGCCAAGGCAGGTGGATTACTTGACATCAGGAGTGGAGACCAGTCTGGTCAACATGGGGAAACCCTGTCTCTACTAAAAATACAAAAATTAGCTGGGCATGGTGGTGTGCACATGTAATCCCAGCTACTCAGGAGGCTGAGGCAGGAGAATCACTTAAACCCAGGAAGTGGAGGTTGCAGTGAGCCGAGATCACACCACTGCACTCTAACCTGGGCAACAGAGCGAGTTCCCATCTCAAATAAATACATGAATAAAAACCAGATAATTTAGGTCAAAGTTTTTTGGGGAGTTCGAAAAGCTATTGAAATACTTGTAAGAACTTTTAAAAAATTATATTAGGAAGCAATAGAACAGATTAGGTACCTAATCTGGAGAAAAACTGTATTTTCTTTCTGAAAAATGAAATGATCTGATAATTAAAGTACTTTTACTACTATACTTGCTTTAAATTTGTTTTAAATGGTCAGGGAGAGAAGTTTAAAGAAACAAAGAAAAATACAAAGAAAAAAAGAATAGTCATCTATATTTCTACCATTTACTTTTAGCATCTTAGAAACTCCTCTCCCACCATTAAAAAAAAAGTCAACCTTATGGAGGTTTAATACATATACGGTAAAGTGCACCTGTTTTTAGGCGTACGTTTTGGAGAGTTTTGACAAATTTGTGCACCCACATAACTACAACCTCTGTGGATGTAGAGCATTTCTGTCACCCCCAAAGTTCACTGTAACCTTTCTCAGTGAATCTCCACAGGCCCAGGCTGCCACTGATCTACATCCTGTTACTCTACTTTGATTTGTTTTTTCTAGAGCTTCGTGTAAACAGAATCATACAGTAGTATTCTTTAGTGTCTGACATCATCATAATCTTTCTGAGATTAATTCATATGGTCATTACATCAGTAATTCATTCCTTTTTATTTCTGAATACTGTTCTAATGTATGAAGTTATCATAGTTTATTCATTCATTCACTTGTTAGACATTTGGGTTGTTTCCAGATTTTGGCTACAACAAATTAATTTGCTATGAACATTGATGAATACGTATTTCTGTGGATATTTTTCATGGGTGAGTACTGAGGAGTACAGTTGTGGGGTTTATAGTAAGTGTGTGCTCAACTTTATCAGAAATTGTCAGCTCTTTTCTAAGTGGTTGCCCCATTTTGCTTGTTTGTTTGTTTGTTTGTTTGGAGACAGAGTTTCAAGCGATTTTCCTGTCTCAGCCTCCTGACTAGCTGGGATTACAGGCATGTGCTATCATGCCCAGCTAATTTTTGTATTTTTCGTAGAGCTGGGGTTTCACCATGTTGGACAGGCTGGTCTTGAACTCCTGACCTCAGGTGATCTGCCTGCCTCAGCCTCCCAAAGTGCTGGGATTATAGGCGTGAGCCACCATGCCTAGCTCTTGGTTGCCCCATTTTGTGTTTCCACCAGCCGTGTTTTGGAGTTCCAGTTGATCTGTATCCTGGTCTACTTTTGTTATTTTTGATTATTTGAATAGTAGTCATCTTGCCGGGCGCAGTGGCTCACTCCTGTAATCCCAGCACTTTGGAAGGCTGAGGCGGGTGGATCACCTGAGGTTGGGCGTTCAAGACCAGTCTGACCAACATGGAGAAACCCCGTCTCTACTAAAAATACAAAATTGGGCTGGAAGCGGTGGCTCATGCCTATAATCTCAGCACTTTGGGAGGCTGAGGCCGGCAGATCACGAGGTCAGGAGATTGAGACCATCCTGGCTAACATGGTGAAACCCCGTCTCTACTAAAAATACAAAAAATTAGGCAGGCGTGGTGGCAGGCGCCTGTAGTCCCAGCTACTTGGGGTGCTGAGGCAGGAAAATAGTGGGAACCCAGGAGGTGGAGCTTGCAGTGAGCCGAGACTGAGCCACTGCACTCCAGCCTGGGAAACAGAGCGAGACTCCATCTCAAAAAAAAAAAAAAAATTTTACAAAATTGGCCGGGCGTGGTGGCAAATACCTGTAATCCCAGCTACTTGGGAGGCTGACGCAGGAGAATCGCTTGAACCGGGGAGGCGGAGGTTGCGGTGAGCCGAGATGGCACCATTGCACTCCAGCCTGGGTAACAAGAGCGAAATTCCATCTCAAAACAAACAAACAAACAAAAAAATAGTAGTCATCCTAAGGTATGTGGTTTTAATTTGCATTTCCCTGATAAATGCTATTGAGCAACATCTCCATATGCCTATGAGTGCTTGTTTATTTATCAGAAGAGTAAAGTGTCAGATATGTAAAGTGTCTTTGCAAATCTTTTGCCTATTTAAAAAATTGATTATTGTCTCATCATTGAATTATAAACATTTTTACATTTTCTGGATACAAGTTCTTTGTTAGATGTGTGTATTAAGAATTATTTCTCCCAGTCTGTGGCTTGCCTTTTTTCTTAACAGTATCTTTTGAAGAACAGAGGTTTAAACGTTTTATTTTTTTCTTTTTATATTTTTTCAGAGACAGACTCTTGCCATGTGGCCCAGGCTGTCCTCGAACTCCTGGGCTCAAGCAATCCTCCTGCTTCAGCCTCTTGAGTAGCTGGGACTACAGGCGAGTGCCATTGCGCCCAGCAGGAGTTTTAAATTTCAATGAAGTTTAGTTTATGTTTTTTTTGTTCCTTGGATGGCTTAGAGTTTTTGCTTCCTAAGGATTTTTTGCCTATTCTAATGTGATGAAGATTGTCTCCTGTGTTCTTCCAAACATTTTATAGTTTTAACTTGCATGTTTTGGTCTGTGATCTGTTCCGAGGTAATTTTTATGTGTGGCGTGAGGTAAGGGTTGATTTTCATTTCCTTTTACATGAGTATCCAGCACCGTTTGCTGAGAAAAATTCCCCATTGAATTACTCAGGCCTCTTTGCTGAAAATTGGTTAACCATATAAGCACGAGTCTGTTCCGTGCTCTCTATTGATCTGTGTATGTGTCCATCCTGCTGCAAGCCACTTCTTAGTAAGTCCCGTAATCAGTTTGCAATCATTACTCCAGCTTTGTTCTTCTTTTTCAGAATTGTTGTGGCTATTCTAGATCCTTCATATTTCCATATAGATTTTAAAATCGACTTGTCAGTTTCTACAAGAAAGTCTGCTGGGATTATCATTCGTGTTACTTTGAATTTATAGGTCAATTTAAGAGAATTACCATATTGACAATATTGAACCTTCTAATCCAGGGCTCAGTGAATTTTTTTTCTGTCAAGGTTCAGATAATAAATATTTTGGGCTTTGCTGCTAAAGTTTAAGAATCCAAGAAGAAAACAGAAAGAATGACATTTCACATGCCTGTTTCTTTTTTTTTTATTCTCCTGCCTCGGCCTTTAGAGTAGCTGGGACAACCGGCACAAGCCACCATGCCCAGCTAATTTTTTTGTATTTTTAGTAGAGATGGGGTTTTACCACATTGGCCAGACAGGTCTCGAACTCCTGACCTCAAGTGATCTGCCCACCTTGGCCTCCCAGAGTGCTGGGAT